ACGTTGTGTTCAATCTATGTCATCCATCTGTTTATCTTTGTATAAAACCCGGCTGAGGTTGTGGTGGTAATTTAGAATCGTGATTCCTGATTATTCTTGATCTTCTTTTTATGACATCAATATTTCTGGGCCTAATCCAAACAAAGTTAAAGCAGACACACATTAATTGTAAACAAGAAGCTACCATGAAGAATTAAAACGTGTAAACATTGTTATTTTTCTATTCTTTCCTTGAAAAGTGGAGCAGTAAAAATAAATTTCATTTATCCTTTGACTCGTGTACAGAGCCTCGATTTGTATTGTGGTTTAATTAATTTTGGTCTAAACTATTTTAAACTGTGGTCTAATTATCTCTACTAATCTTACTTATTTCCTATAATCAATGACAAAATGAGAGTAAATAAAATAACCTAATAGTTCCATAGTTTATATTTAACCAGCTGTTAGTTAAAACAAATTATATTGCTCTAAAACAAATCGAAGATTACAAAGATTGCTTTAAAAAATAATTAGAACATCCTAGTATTTTACTATGTATATTTAATTTATCTGTCATACTCTTACAGAATAATTGAACGTACCAATGATTAGCATTACACATAGTATAAATAAGTCAACCCTAAGTATGTCTTTACATTTTTATCCAAATGCTGAATTTGTGACACAAAAGCTGAATGTTTACAGCTGTTATGTTAAGCACATTATTTTATGACAAAAGCTAGTTTAGAATCTTAGCGTCGGCTGCTAGACGTTTTAAAAATTAAAACTTAATTTCTAAAAAACTGGGACCCTAAACTAAAATTATGGCTTCGACATTCCCTAGTTTTCAAAATTATCTTTCTTTCAACACAAAAATCATGAAAATCCGTCGAGTTGTTGATTCAGAATCGTGAAATAAAAAAAACACTGTTTCGTTTTAATATTATAGATATTTTCAAAGGGATATTTGTTATTGAAGCATATGCGACACGTGTTGGCATTGTAACACAAATAATAAAGACACGATTTATTTATCACAACTATTATGATTCAGCAAAATCAGCGGATGTTAACAAGGAGAACAATCTACAGCTGATAATTTTAATTCCCCAATAGTCAATGCTTATACCCGCGGCCGCAAAGCATGTGTTGCGGCAGTTTACGCTGCAGTAGGGCCTATAACGAAATACCGTATTGCAGATTATTGTAGTATATTTTACACTAGTCCCGAAAGTGACCCATTTCTGGAGGCGGAAGCAACTATCCAGCCGTCGAATGGATCTTTCGTGACGAGGTGACGAGTAGTGATGATAGTAAACAATACTTTTGATCACGATGTAAATAACCACACAAAACTTCATTCTCTCAAATGTATTTTTATTTAAAGTTACCATAACATGGTTTAAAATTTATTCAAAAGTCAGAGGGTTTAAAAATATTTCTCGTTATCAACAAATAGGCCCACTCATTAGTGTTCCCGTTGAGCTTAACAGAAACTCCGTGTTTGGGTAAGGAAACAGGCAAAATTATACGTTTCGCTAGATTAGAAATTGAAACTTTTCGGATAGCTGTTCGGAAACGAGCAAGCTTCGTACTATACAGTGACAAACCCTCGTTTTCTAGCAGTTATGCGTCATATACTTCTTGGCGATCTCGAAAAAAACTTCATAACTTTTTTGTGTTAACGCCCGAACTCCCAGAAAGTGTGGTACTTTCTCCAGATACGTGGCTTGTAGATATATTGCTACACACTCTGTACACTATTTGGTGGTGTTGTCGCTGTCACAGTCGGGGTCTAGGGTCGGCTATCTCAACGAGACGCATTATCGTACACTCGTGTGTCCAATGTAAACATCGCATTGAGCGACTGAGTGAGTAAGCGGTCCAGTGGTGTGAGATGTGCTTTGTTCCGAGCGATACAAACAGATTTGTCCATCTGTACTGTGGATAAAGTCTACGAAGGGTTTGTCTTCCCTATTGCGACACGCCAAACCATTAGCATTTGTGTGCGTGATTATTATGTACAAAACAAATGTTTTCCAAAGTTTCAAGTGTTCTGTTTTAAAAGATCTGCTTATGCTCAGAGTATTTGGAAAGAGAAGCATGTGGTGTGCCCAGTTAATGGTTCTAGGTCGGAAAATGAGCACGGGTGGTGCGGGACGAAAAGTGACTTTGAAGAGGAAGGATATTTTTTAATTCTTTCAGCTATCTAACACACAAATGTTGTATACGGTTTACCTTGATACATTCGATTAATAAATTAACTAACACCAATCTTGTTTTCTATTATGTATAAACTTACGGTTTTTACCAAGGTAAATATTTAAGCAAAGATTTCAAAAACTCCAATGCAAATTTTCGATTTGTAGGTTTGAACATAGGCTAACTGGTTAACGTAAATTTCCAAATACATCACGACATTATTTGTGAGTGAACTCTTACTTCAAATTTGATTTTATTTTGCCATAATATAGGTTACATAGCTGCTGTTGTCGTCGATCTACTATATCTGTTATACCTACTAGATTACTAGTTTCGGGACATTTTCAAATCTCCATTTCTAAAAATCATATCGTCAATACGTCAAGTAAACGATGTCACACGAAAAATGCAAACAGATTCATAGAGTGGCATACACATTGAGTACAACCATAGATGAAAATATTTATTCTATGGTACAACATTACATGATCGTGGTAACATGTAGGGTCGTAATATTCCGTGCATTAGGTTCAGTTTCTGTGCTTTGGTTTCATCATATTAGAATATTTTGTATTATTGTTTACCATATGGTTAGTAAAATGTAACCAACGCGAATTTACGATTGTAAATTTTCCACAGTATGAGACTGGTGAACATAAAGTTCACATTATATGTGTGTGAGTGAACTCGACACAACAAATATGCTCGCATTTCACATTGACAGTATTGGCTAGTATTGACTTGACTGCACTGTGCTAGACTACGTCGCTCGTGTAGACAATATGCCGATACAGCGTAACTAGAGCCCCAGCCGAGTTGCCGACACATTTCCTGCACACAGACGCCAGACTTTGATCCCCGGTTACGCGGAATCGGCCGTATTATTGCCGACGCGACATGCACACTTTTGTTTGTCCGGCCTCGCTACTGCTTACCCAAGTCGCGATGCACAAAAATATGTGTGACACGTGAAAACAGATTTGGTGACTAGCTAATTTGCATTATTTTTTGTAATACTGCAGCAAAAACGGCGGTTTTAATGGGGCTAATTTTTTGTCCATAGTATGAAAAATAACCAATCTTTCAGATCAGCTGTTTAATTTCGCTTTGTTAACTTTTTTTATGAACTCGAAGAAAATAGTTCCGATTAAAATAGATAGTCGATCGAATTTATTTACATTGTATATTACATTGCTATCTACAGGGTGATTGATATAAGTGTGCCGGCTATTTTATTCGAAAGTTATAAGAGATATAACAAAATGTTAAATTGTAACTGCCTTGGATTTTGTAATTAAAAAATTTTGGTCAAGTTGAAAAAATAATTTTAGCCGCCATTTTTCCAATATGGCCGCCAACTTTTTGTTATGGAACACCCATATTTTATGTTTATTTTTGTTGTGTTATATATTTGATGATGTTTTTAGAAAGTAAATGCAATTCAAAAACGTTTTTATTCTTGGCATTTTTGCTCTAAAGCTTTTCGTTTAGGAGTTACAGTGTGTTAAAACTAAGAAAAAATGACTTGCGGTGTACATTCTGCATCATGTAGCTCCTAAACGAGTACGTTTAGAGCGAAAATGCAAAGAGTAAAAAAGTCTTACAATTGTATCAAGATTCTAAAAAGACCATAACAAACACATTTTTCATATTTTTAAATTTCCCTGCCATTTTGGAAAATTGAGGCCATTTTTGAAACAATGGAATCAATATTTCTTCGGTATGTTATGGTCTTTTTAGAATCTAAATGCAATTTTAAGACTTTTTTACTCTTTGCATTTCGCTCTAAACGTACTTGTTTAGGAGCTACATGATGCAGAATGTACACCGCAAGTAATTTTTTTCTTTTAACACGCTGTAACTCCTAAACGGGTAGCTTTAGAGAAAGAATGCCAAGAATAAAAACGTTTTTAAATTACATTTACTTTCTAAAAACATAATAAAATATAGGGTGTTCCATAACAAAAATCAAAGTTGGTGGCCATATTAGAAAAATGGCGGCTAAAATTATTTTTTCAACTTGACCAAAATTTTTTAAATACAAAATCCAAGGCAGTTACAATTTAACATTTTATTATATCTCTTATAACTTTCGAATAAAATAGCCGGCACACTTATATCAATCACCCTGTATATAACTTTAAGCAACATTAAGATTGAATTAATGTATTATGTATGTATGAAAATTTTAATCACTCTGTATTCAAAAATAGCTCATTTCCATACAGCTGAGATCTTCTAAAATCGTCAATTTCCATACAAAAACAAATAGTCAGCTGACTTTTCCTGACATAATTATCTCTTTCGCTACACAAACAATACTTTGCCTGTAATCAACAAAATTACAACTGAAGTGTTTTAAGTTTGATAAAGTAGTTTTTTTTTCATCGTGATGAAAAGTATAGTTTAACACTCGTCTCCAAAGTCCCATTTCGGGACTCGATAGTGTTTCCCATGCTCTTGTAGAAACTTTCGTGACTAGTAGTGAAATATACTATTAAACTATGGCTATTGTGTTGGTGGATTAAAAATCAGATGCATACCATAACATTCCTCAAACGACCAAAACAGGCCTAACCAGCGACCACAGAATTAAAATTTTATTTAATAAGTCGTTTATTTAATTTTATTTAAAGTTATTTAAGTTTATTTAATTTTATTTTAATTCTGTGGTCGCTGGGCCTAACAGATAGCAAAAGATGACAAAAGATAACATAAATTGGATATTACAATGTAGTTACAAATAAATAAGCGGATATTATTATTTATAGTTACAATTTTCAAAAACTCATGTTTTAATATGATAACATTTGTTACAGGTCACACATTCAACAATCCAGAAACAATTGACGACAAACTTGAACCTGGTATTTGGTGAGTACAATCTAATACCGTTGTACGCTAATACTGTAGTTATAATATTTGCACAGTTGCTGTTTAATGAGGTCTGTATATAACTCAATAGATCAATAGATATATTCTATTGATAGATGAAAAAAAATGCATTTTACCATTCATAATGTTTTAAAGCATAGATTAAAAGAAGTAGACAGTCTATACTCTTTTTATCTATGCTTAAAGTGAATGGTATTATTGAATGCAGATCATTCAATAATATCATTCACTTAAAGACATTATGTTAGACATCACATCAACATGGACCAGTGTAGAAAATTTGTTATTTAAATATAATTTAGTTGGACGAGTCTCACAAAGTGTGCTACTTTCAAAATTATATTTTTACTTTTAGATTTTGTTAATCTAAAAGATATTTTAGTATACAGTAAGTTGACTTAGTTTTATTTGTTTTGTTCTTAAAACAAAAACTACAGTACGGGTACAGTATTGGCATACTTTGTTGATCGTTAAGTGGAGGTAAAACGGTTTTTGTAAAACTGGCTTCAACTTTAAAATGGGAATGGAGTGTTTAGCTAATTTGATCAATAGCGAAAAATTTTAAACACATACACATTACATTTATCAAATCCTGTTACTTGAATAAAATACCAGACTTAGAAAAAAATCAATAGAAGTTGGCAAAGTGATAAAATGATAATGCAAATTAATAATTAATCTAGATAATGAATCATTAAAACTGCAGTTAATGCCGAAAGTTGGCAAGAACAGTAGTCTATTGTTTCGTCGAGGTTGTTAGACTGGTAAGGTTAATGATGCAAGTTACTGATATCAAACACTTTATATACCACAGGTTTGTGTGTCACTGTTTAGCTTATACAGTAGCTGCATTTATTATAATAATTTGGACATTTCAAATACTTTTCTACACAATATCCTTTTTGCATTTTGATTTGACCAATAAATAATTGTTTCATTTTAAAGCTGTAGACATTTGTTGACTTAATTTTTTATAAAATAAAATTGGATTCACTCAGTAACGTTAGATTTTTTTAAATTGATAATAAGGTCAGCAGTTGGATAAAGTCCTTGTACAAACAAGTCAACTTTATGCTCTTCGTAGGGCTCAATTCATTTAGTTTATTTCCACAAGACATGGAAACTAACTGTCTTCATCATTAAGACATTGATGGTATTTAAAAATGGTTGATAGTTCGTAATAGATGGCTACCGAAAATGTTTTTGATTCAGTGGATGATTTTTTGATAAATAGAACAATTTATTGTATTTGTTGTTTGGAGATTACTTCAACATGTATTTTTAACTGAAAATCAACAGTTAGTAGGCCTATTTTGAGTTTACAATATATTAAGTAGAAGTCTAATTCTTACTTTGAGCGTATACATTTCTAACATTGGCTTTGATTTCTAGTATACATTTTTCCATCTTGAAGATATATTGTTAATTATCACTTGGGTTGACATACAAGTCTTAACCTGCTTGTCAAGTGGATATGATAAAACTTGTTTTCAAAGACCTAATATTTTATAAACAATGTATAATATTAGAGTTTTCCAGCATAGTGAATGTTCCCAAGGGTAGTGGTTTGTGGGGGAGGGAAGGGGGTATCTTTGTGATAGCTCCTGTGACCTTTGCCCTTTCTATCTACACCAGTAGGGTTGCCCTCAATATCACATTAGGTCCCTCAGTGTTGTCTGCCTGGTTGTGAGGTATGTGTGTCAAAAATATTTGTGGAGATTACATTTCAACTGTCCTTTGTCCTGTTTGAACTGCCTGGTAAACATGTGAGTTTAGGATATATTTAGACGCTTAGTAACATAAATGACCATGTATAGAACTATGAATTTCACTCCCATTTGTTGTAGTTTTTAAATATAAATGAACATAAACCCCTTAGGTAGTGTCCTGATGCAAACTACCGATTTTTGGCAAATAGACAAACTGTTTAACCTAGCTTAACTGAGAGGACACCTTGTTGTAATGTAACATTTTTATGTCACCTCAACTGTTACAGGAACAAGAAATTAGGGAGGAAAAGTAATTTTAGACTGTAGTACACTCAGTGAGTGAATTATTCAACTATAACTATTCTTAAAGAACTATGGATTAGCTGAGGATAATTCCCACGCATGTTTCTCACCTGTTTATTCAGAGAACACTTTATTGTATTTTAGCAAATTTCCCATAGGGAATAAGCTATTACTGTAGGTCTCATAGACCTAGACACGGTACCGATTTACTTTTTTGTTTTGAGGTCCCCCCCAGAGGCCAAAACACCCTCCAATCAAATTCATATACTGTATATATGTGTGTCCGTTAGCGCGATAACTCGATGAAAAAATGCAGAAAAATGATCCGATTTTGATTAAATTTAGTATAAACGTGTAAACCTACGTTTATTCAAACGAGTTTGCAAACCAGCATGATCGGACTATGGGAACGGGGGTTTATGGGGGGGGGGGGGGGTTTATGGGGTAAAAACTTGTTTTTCCCATTTTTGAAAATTTCACAATTTCTTTCCAAACCTTTAGAATAATTAGATTTTGACTTGTAGCTATGGAATTCAGTATGATGCTAAAAACCGTATGGAGAAAGAATAAATTTGAGCGTTTGTCAGGTCTTGGATTCACTGTACTGCAAATTGAACATGGAACGGAGTATTGTATGTCTCAATACATTGTTTGCGATACACTGGCTATAATTGCAGTATAGGTCTACAGTAGGTGAGAGTTAGGTAGTTACTGATAGATACAGTAATGTAACACTCTAATCTGATCCCTCTAGAGTGTGTGAGATGAGTTTGATCGTTATACAGCTCGTTATCACAGCAGCTCGCGAATGGCTCCCATTCTCTTATCAATTGATAAGTAATGGGAATCTTGTGATAGAATATTTGTTCATCAATTTGTACATGTGATATAGTCTGTGTTAGACGTGTGGATAGACTTAGCTGTTCGGTGTGAGTATCAATTGTTCAGCTGTGTTTTGGTGATTTTGAATGTCTCATTGTCAGTTAGGTTAGTGGTTAGTTACAAAATAGAATTAATCTTGTTTTAGCATAAAGAATTAGTATATTCTTTGTTAGTTCCATTTTCAATGCCATTGATTCTGAAAATTTAAGTTGCGAGGATGTGTACTTTCGTCAGTCCTTTCCATTGAAGTAACTATACAAATAATTCGAAGGCTATAAATCTAAAATGTTTAGCTCGATTGACACAACTATTACTTTTTATTTACCATCCATTGTATTAAATCTAGTACTAACCCTTTACACTTCAAAGATGATGTAGGTTATGCTTTCCCCTCATCTTGTGGACAGATACGAAGTGCAACGCTCACAGAGTCCACCCATCCTTCTAGATATGACCTTAAATTGAGTGTATTATAAATCCCCTATCGGTTAGGTCTGCAGTAAGATTACAACCTGAATGGTGTTTTTAATGACAACTTCTTGCCACACTCATTACAAAAATGTGAAAATTGGGGTTTTTAGGGTGGTTTATTAAACTTATCAAATACATTTTTTCTAAAATTGTAAGCTTCTAACCGATTTATAATTTAGTCAACATTTTCTAACTTACTTACCATAGGTACTTTACCTAAACTCCTCTTAGGAAAAGAGGTTCTTAAAATTCATAAATATTTCTGGTCGTTTAAAGCCTTTGGTACCTTTTACTATCTGGTCTTAGGATTTACATCAGAAACATGGACTTGTATCTTAAACATGGTTTTGGTAAATTTCCTTAAATTTCAAAATATCTAATCGTGTAAACAAACACATTAATAAATGACCTACCAGCCGCAAATAACCTTCAAATGACCATTTCAGCTGAACTTTATTCTATCACAAGGCTTCCCTTCCCCCTTCTCCCAGCTTTAACCCTCCTGTCTTATCATCAAATTTGTGTGTTCTGCACTTTCGGTGCCTGATAGCCTTTGCTTTTTATCTTCTTTCGGTATTAAATTAGATTATTGCCTTAACACTCTGGAGATAATAGCTTCTCAGTGTTTCAATAAACGTGATAGATGGATGTAAAAATGGGTCTGATAGTTACATTGTTGGGTAACCAACTACTCATCTAATGAACCTGTTTAGCTGAGGTAGCTTTAAAATATACTTACATGGGCAATCTATAGATGATCTGCCAATTTTAAAACACAATGAACAGAAATAAATAAGTAAATATTTACTTTTTGTACTAGTTTAAACACAGCCTAGGGTTGGAAACCTAGTTTCCGAAAGCGCTTGTGAATTAAACAAATTATTATATATTGGCCTTTTTGAACATTTAAATTTTGTTGTACATTTCATTTGAAATAACAGTGTCTGTCCTACTGATTTTACAAGGAGTTTCCTTGAGGACATCATAGTAGATTCTTTTTCTAAGTTTGAAGTTGTAGGCTGAATGCAATGTTAGGGTCAACTATTTGTTATAGAATAACTGTTTTGATAAGAAGATTATGTTGAAAAGATATGACTTCCATGTTTTTGAAAGAATAATTTATTATAAAACAAGAATAATTCATAATACAAGTATTCAACGTCCAATAATAATAAAAACCTTCAAACTCTGTTCCCGACTTTGTATATTTTGGTTAAGCTGTGTCCCCTGTTCCCATTCAGTTGAGGTCAAAGTTTACATAATCTGTCGGTGATATCAGTGACAGTGGTATAGGTGTAACTTAGACTCCTGGCCCAAACATTGACACTTTGACACTTTAGTTAAAAACATTTGTCAAAGGCCCGTTATAAGTAATCTGAGATCTGTTAAAGAAACTGAGAATATTTTGTTCACAATTGAAGAAATGTTTGAACCACACCAAATATGTATACTTTTCGTAATTGTTTTTTTAACAAATTTTGTTATGTCAAGTGGTAAATTAAACAAACAATATACTCGGTTCCAATTTTCATTTTGAAAAAAAAAAGATTTATCAATAGCCAAAGATGTTTAAAAAATGTGGAACCAAAGAGGTTTTTAAAAAATATGGAACCAAAGGGGTTTAAAAAAAGTGGAACCAAAGAATAAAAAAAAAAAAAAAAAATGCGGAACCAAAGAGGTTTTAAAAAAATTTGGAAATCTTCTTGAAGAAACTGAAGATTTAACACAAACATGTTGTACTTGCTTGTCAGGATTGGAAATGAAAGCTAAATCAGCTCATTATGTTATCTCTTCATTATGATGACAATCTAGAGACCCATTCAATGTCCAATGCTCATCTATTATGTAAGACAGTCTGTAGGAGAAACATAACTAGTGGGACTATATAAAAACATTACCAAAATCATTATTTCAGACTAAGCCTCATCTTACAATTGATTGTTTACAAGCAGTGTCAAAATCCTATTTTCAGTAAGTTGTTTAAATATTCTAACTGTATTACCTGTGAAAAGCGTTAAATCTTTTGATTTAAATTGAGATTCAAAATTAAGTTGGTTCAACCACAATGCAATTGGAATAAAACGTTAAGGTAAACATGGTTTGCAAAAAGTATAACTAATGCTAAATTCAAAGAACTATGCTTGACAGTTCACCATTCACTCCTTTATGGCTCATAAAGTTACACTGTAAGTACAGTAACTACGAAGAGGACAGCATTTTTGTTCACTTGACTGAAATTCTATTATTTGCTTGAAGTAAAAATCAGCTGTAGGCCTAAACCTTTTTCATTCTATCAACATAATTATCATATCTATGTACCTTTAAAATAGAAAAGTTCTCTCTTCTTTCGGAAACTATTAAATTAATCATAGCTATCACACAAAATATAACCTAACTTTCAATATCCAAATCAATGTCATAACAATTTTAAATTGTACCTACATAAGATTTAATATATTTAAATTTTACCTCATTCCTGTCAAACCTTTCTTTTCTGTTACAACAAACCTGATTATATGAACTTTTCCACTAATTTTTTTGTCTTTACGAGGCCTTATTCTTGTTGGTATGTAGCGTAGCGGTGTTTTTGAGTTGTAGTTGCAATTGAATCAACGGTAGAAGTGGCAGTAGTGTCTGTCAGACCACTTGTGAAAACATAGCTGGGCAAACATACCAAACTGTCATACACTCACTCAACCCACCTCATCATTTAGTGTTCCTCTTTTGGTGTGATACTGTTAATATATGTCTGAAGTGGTGACAAACTTCCAAGTGGATTAGTCTTCAGTTTCAGTAGGAATTGCCAGTGAGGTCAGTGTTTCTGGACAGAAAACAATATTTTGATTGAGATTGATTAGTATGTGTTAATACATCTGTCTCTATATGTGCGTTAAATGTTAAGATAACTTATCTTATAGTAGTTCATTATAATGTTAAAAAGTAAATAAAACCAATTTTGTCCGAAAAAAGATATAATTAAATCAAAATGTTCTAATAAATGTACAGCTAAGTTGGTTATTATGTTATTTAATTGTTATCATAGATTTTACATTATGTTGCATCAATGTTTAACTGGTTTTTAAAATGAAATTTGAAACAAAATCTTTATCTAACTTTTACAGAATGAAACTGAAAAATACATGTACTAACAAAATATAGGTAAGGTGACTAACTCACTTGCATTCTCTTTTGCGTGAGCCAAATTATGCAGTCCAGTGATGACTCTTATTTGCACAACATTGCCCATGACTCATCACTACTTGTGACTTATCTCAGTCTAATATTTTGATATGGTGCGGCAAAAAAACCGATCTATTTTCTGCAGAGTACTGTTCAGCGACAGGTCGTCCGAGAGTGTTGGGAGTAGACTCGTTGGAAAGCCTACACAATGCCATTTTTTGTAGTCATAGAGCAGTGGTCGCCTGAGCTAGTGCGGTTGTTATAGAGTAGTTTATATAAAATAGTGAATTCATTCATTGCTATTCAGCGGCAGTTTCATGCATTCTTTCAATTAAGGCGACATGGAGAAGTACCATTGCATAGCACAATAATGTGGTGAGTTACTTACTTTAGGACAACGGCTTCTGCGTAGAAAAGTTAGATCGGACGCCAGACAATAAACATTCGATAGAGTTCGTGCTGCTGTGGAAAACAGTCCTCGTAGGCCCGCCCGAAAACAATCAGCTGTCTTGAACATGTCTGACCGCTCAGTTATACGAATTTTGAGGTTAATTTTCTTCCCTATGGATTATAATAATAATCTGTATAATTAGGTAATCATCCATACAAATAATCACGACGGAACCTCTCTATGTCTACCTAATTGAATAAAAGCACGGAACTGCCGCTGAGTTGCAATGACTAAATAAATCATTACTTTTTAAAAACGACTCTATAACAACCGCACGTAGCTCATACGACCAGTGCTCTATGACTACAAAAAATTTCATTGCATAGGCTTTCCAACGAGCCTACTCCCACCACCCTCAGACGACCGGTCGCTGAACAGTGCGCTGCAGAAAATGGATCAGTTTTTTTGCCGCACCCTGTATAATAGACTGGGTTTGGGAAAATTCTTCATCTGATTTAAACACACAAGCTTTTGTTCTCTATTCTCAATTTTAGTACAGTAGAAGTTTTTTAGCTATGATTTTTTTCTGTTTTGTTTTTCTGATTTTTATGGTACAGAACTCTAAATCCAGTGCTGTAGATAAAGACAAACATGTTTGTCTTTGGTCGGTCGTGTCGGTCATCCGATGCCGTCGGTCGCCCAACTAGGACGCTCTCATGCTTATCCACGTGTTTGACATTTTTTGTGCGACGGATTCGCTTGCACGGACGACCGACCGATTTTTCGTCGTTCAGCTAGGACAGGGCCTAACACTGTAAACATCAGATGCCACGTGATCACTGGTCTCAAATCTTTCCCATGAGAAAAGTTGATTCAGTATCGCCCATTTCTTGCTAACCCAATCCGGTTAAAAATATGTGCTAATAAATATTGTTTGGTTAAGGCGATGTCACTTCCGCCAAACTGATGTCTGGTTAAAAGGTGTCCGGATAAGAGGGAGCGTAATGTAGAAAGCGCAGAACCTCTTCAACTGTTTGTTTGGTTTCAGTTCCAAGAATGAGGAAGTAGACAACAACTGTGTAGTTAGAGCGAGAGGACTTCCGTGGCAAGCTTCTGACCAAGACATCGCCAAGTTCTTCCGAGGATTGAATGTTGTCAAGTAAGTTTTCCTGAAAAGAAAATTACTAAGATTCATGTTGAAAACCGATAACACATTACGGCTCTCATAAGTGGATCTGCAAATAGTTTAAATGATTCTAAATTGGAAGTCATTGGAAATCATGTTTATGTTGTTGGAAAACCTACTTTTTATTGGGAATAATAATTAATAAAAAAAAAATACTTTTTGTTTTTCTAATCTACCCTGAAAAGAACTCCTGGTTTATGACTAATCAGTGTTAAGACGGACACTTGCAGTTTTTGTAAGTTTTTCTTTAGGTTGATTAGAATGCAGAGTGAGTGTATAATGGAGTGAGATGACCTGTGTGCTTTGCTACTGACTAATGTCTGTAGCGCGGATCATCATTGAAAGCACAATGATGGTTGGTTCAAGTATTAAACAATCAAAAAGCCACTGACTTTTCTCAGGATCGATTCAGTGACCTGATTGTGTGAAAAGCACAAACACAAGTCTTATCATTAAGCTTATCAATAAGTCTCACAGAAACTATTCATTTCTAAATTCTTATATTTTATACAAAAACAAATTAAAAAATAAACCAAACACATTTAGTTTACTTTGCTTACGAATTGGCGTTCAACCAATGATCAAATCACTCTACTCAACTGTTTTTAAAGGGAGGTAGAACCAAACTACCAATTAAACTAAATTATTTGAATAATAATCTTATTTGATTTGTCTTTTAATAAAAACTATCAGATCTAATAACTATTTTGAAAGGTCTTCATTAAAGAAAATTGTATTTTACCTTAGTGTCGTCAAACCATTTCTAAATGTTAACATCCGTTTTAAATGCAAGTAAATGAACAAAACGGAAAATTTTGGTTTACGTTTCAGCCTGTTTCAAATTACCATGTAATTGGGTTAAACCACTTCTTACTTGCACAGTCATTCCTAGTACTGTTGGTTCCATGTTTCTGTTAGTTTAGCATTTTGAAACAGACTTGAACAGAATTCTAATCAATCATCTTACCGGTACTTGACTAATTCAATATTTTGCTAAGTTTTTTTTTATTGGGGTTTCAGATGAAAATGAGACAAAAATAGTATTTACCCTAATATTTTTCCAATCATTTTGACAAAATACAATAACTTAAATTTTATAAATTTTTTTTTATGAGGCTAAAGTATTTATAATTTCATTTTTCTTTCATTTTTCTGGAAAGTGGTGTTTAAACTAAAGTCTCTCAACAATTTTGTCAAATGTAATCTTTACACTTACCATTTCTTTGTGGGCTGCAATAAAAATGTTATCAGATTTTAGTAGCTATAAACATAATTTTTATGGCTTTGCAGGTTACAAGTAAATTTCACTGCCAAGTGGTTTAAACTTATTCAAGTAAAGAACCCTACAGCTTACAGCATGAGAAAAGCTGGATCAAAATTATAAATAATTATTGTCAAATATTTTGAATTAATAGGTGTTTATGACCATACCTAAATTTAAGTCATTTTCTTGTATTTTTACCCATACCTTAGAAATTAGTTTTTCAATAGTAGCCTATATTTAAAAAAACCAATTTATTCTGTTCAATTCTGTTTTCTATCAATATTGGGTGTCAAAATATATTGTACTAACTGTAATAAATTGATCAAAAAGTTGCTCAACAAGTCAATGTGAGCTTACTGCTATGTTATATCTGAAAGTTTTTGGCCGTTGTAAACATGTCTAAGGTTATCAGTGACAGCAGAGTGATAAAAAACTCAAGTGATCCGACTCCTGAATGATCAGACGAGAACATGAAAGTTTCCCACAAACGATAATTTGAGAAAATGTTTCACTTAAATGTAACATGTATGTATCTTGAACAAATTCAGTGATCTGCTGGTAGGTTCGTTATAGCTGGGTAATTGTAGTTATGGTGCCTAACGATCGAGCTGTGTATTTAGTTGTACTAAATACACAAAGAAAGTTGCTGTCTTAGTGAAGTTAAGAATGACCAAAAAATGTTATAAGGCTTTTTGCAAAGGAACAGAACCCATTGTATATATTCGCCCCGTGTGATAGATGGAAAATCTATTTCAAATATGTCATATTTCTCTTCTACTTTTAAAATACTCAATATACACACAGTTGTTAAGGATGAGTCATCTTTGCCTAGTAAAGCCACACAGTCAAGTTTTAGATAAAGTAGTTCCACCTACTCTCTTTTGTTTTTGTCCTTATCTTATCTTTTTTCAACCTCAAGTTCTGTTCCATAACTTTTGTTTTTACCTACCTATAAGACTAACACTGTTCCAATTGGGTTACTCATGTTGACCTGTCTGGGTTGCAGAGGTGGAGTCGCGCTTTGTCTGAGTATCCAAGGTAGACGGAACGGAGAAGCTCTCATCAGGTTCGTCAGCCAGGAACACAGAGACCTTGCGCTCAAGAGGCACAAACACCACATCAACAACCGGTACATCGAGGTCTACAAGGCGACCGGGGAAGACTTCATCAACGTGGCGGGAGGTGAGTTTGTAGCGGAGAACTAGAGGAAAGAAAACACCTACTTGCGGGTATTTACCTTTTTTATTTTTGTTCCCCGCATTGTTCAGAAACTGATTTTTCCACATATTTAAAAAATATTTGAACTTAAAAATGACTCGTGTGTTGCTGTCAAAAGAAGCAACCATTGAGAATTTAATGTAAACAGGAAAACATGTCCCAAAAGTAGAATTGTTCGAAAACTGAATTACAGAACTAACTATATACATCAGCTTAAATTTAGGCATTGTGCTGGATTTTATATGTTGTTTAAAATTACCTCTAAGAATAAAAATAGTAGATCTTCAAAATATATATATCATTCTAAAACCTCTTTTATTTATACAATCCTGTTTGTTCTTGCTAGACATGGATCTTATAGAGCTACTAAGGTAAGAATAATAGGAGTTGAATGAATCATTTACGTCAAAGCTTAATCAATAAGTCAATTTTGGTTAGTAAAATATATGGTAAATTATAGTTTAAAATGTCCTGTATGAATGGTCACATTAAGGTACTTCTAGTTAGTTGCATAAAACTAGTTGTTTACATGTTAAAATTTAAAATAGTATAATTAATAAAAGTGATTAGTCTATAATTTATTTAGCTAAATTAAACAATGCAGTAGATTATATAAAAGGAATCGTTTGAGGTGTTGTAGTATGTTGTCTTTTTCAATATGGTAAGAAGTCAATTTTTGGTTGTCAAGTCCTAAGGAAATTATTCCATTGAAAAGTTAAGAGCATTTGCATAACCCTGTATATCATAAATGAGTCCTATAAAAGAACCTTTTGATCGCTTTAAACTTTTAGATTACTTACCTACTTTTTTTAGATCCCAAGAATTACACTTTTAATTGCAACTTGCCGGAATTTTAGTATACCTTTAAATTTGGTTCCACAAAAATCCCGTTTGATCAACGTATTTTTGAGTTTTAAATTGAAATAGATTAAGCGTAAGAAACAACATACATACACAATTTAAAATTATTTTCCATGTGAATTTGATTTGTTTGCTGTTACATGTTGAATAACTGTTAAATTATGATTTGATGAAATATAATTTACTGTAAGGTTTGATTGATGGTTATGTATGATGTGCAGGAAGGAACATGGACGCTCAGGCGTTCCTCACCAGAGGTGCGCAGGTCATCATCAGGATGCGTGGCCTGCCTTACGACTGCACGGCCAAACAAGTGGTAGGTCTCATCAATAAAAAAACATAAGTTACTCAAACAAAATATTTTTACATTTTGTATCTGTCCCGTCATGTGGTTCTCATAAGTATTTTCATGACCTCTTACTTAGAATGATTAACATTAAAGGTAGAATAGATTCATTAAACAAATAATTTTGTTACTACAGTAAAAATGTCTGTTTACAAGGCATGCATGAGGGACAAATGTAGGCCTAGTGCTTTGTATCCTGGACAAAAAAAAAGATTCAGCTGTAGTCGAGGAGATATTTATTTTTGTGACTTGTGAAATTTGTCTGCCGTCTGCCAGTTTTAGTGTAAAGCTTTCAAAAGGCAATGCAAATTTTTCCTTCTAAGTAATCTCGTCTTATACACTACCTGTGCCAGGCCATGACCTTCATTTGGATTTTGTGAGAATTCATCACAAAATTAATGTATTTACACCTGATTTTGCAGATCGAGTTTTTCGAGGCTGGAGAGAACTCGTGCAGTGTGATGGACGGAGAAGAGGGTGTGCTGTTTGTGAAGAAACCTGACGGCCGGGCGACGGGAGATGCCTTTGTGTTGTTTGCGGTAGAAGATGACTCGGCCAAGGCTCTCAGTAAACACCGGGAACTGATCGGTACGCGGTACATCGAACTGTTCCGCAGCACCACTGCTGAGGTGCAACAGGTACAGACAATATTCTCTTCTTGGTGACTGTTAGAGTGAGTGCCTATGTCTATTCAAGTATTCACAATGAGGGCCTTTGTTGGGTGAGTGAGGGGGAGGGGAGCTCTAGGCAAAGTTACAGCCAAACTTATTGACCATTCCTCATTGGCCTCTTTTACAGCTTGATCAAGCTTTACCTGACACAATCGATTGGCCTTCTCACAATTTTTGACATTTTTATGGTCCCAAAAGATAATGATGTATGAACCTTCACTCTGTTTTTCTCTCCTTGAGTCGATAGCAACAGTGAAGTGGTGGAAAGAGTCAGTATTTAGCTTAGCTTTTTGCTATGTAACACACGGCAAAGTTCCATTACAATCTTAACAGGGATTGTTCTGTTGTTTTAGAAAACTTTTATTTTGCATTAGGTACTGATGTTTGGACAAGTTACAGTAATCCGTCTTTGGAGTGAAACTATGCTAAGCCTTGTCCCTCAAACAGAAAAAGATTTTGAAGTCCATTCTGACCATGAAAGTCTACATTTTAAAGTTTCTTATTTACTTTAAGAGTGGAAGACAAAAGTGGAAGCTAGTATGGTTTGAAATAATACCTATGTACTCCCAATTTGCCCATCTATATGACTAAGCCTGGATTATTCGCAGGTGCTGAACCGGTCGATGGACCCCAAGACTTATGAAACGCCTCTGCCACTGCCGATCACGCAGTTGTCGCAAGTACCTCTGGTGCCTCAACACTTTATCACCTCTGGTACTCGCAAAGACTGCATCCGGCTACGAGGGCTGCCCTACGAGGCTCAGGTTAGTCACAACCTCTACTATGTGGTCGGTGAGAAGTCATTTGATTAATTGATGGCTCAAACCTTAAGATATGAACAGTGCACATGGGGATTTTAAGAACATGAATAGGACTATTTTTTGTTTTTGCTTCTGTAGTTTTTGTATCCACGCAGAACCGGCAGATACACAGACATAAGCATCATCTACTAGAGCCTAGTTGGCGTTTGGTTGGCCAATACAGCCCAAATGTTGTTCAGATTTGTAGTGTTTTCATGGTACATTTAACTTAACCAATTTTTCAGCTCAACCCAAAACATAGTTGAGAAGAATGATGAGAGACTTTAAAGGATGTAAATTTGTTTTTACTCCTGCATCAGGCATTTTTAGCGAATTTCCCACCTAGGGTATAAGCCATTACCGTATCTCTCATGGTATGATGTTGACCCGGGACCAATTTAACTTTTTGTTTTGATGTCCCAAGAGGCCACATACACCATCCGTTCAAATTCATATATTCTGACTATATGTGTTCACAGGGGAAAAAAATATAAATTTAAAATTCCTATTTTATTCTTATGGAGGAAAAATAATCTGTTATAATTTGCTTGTTTTGTGCTATATTTTAATTAAATTTGCCAAATTTGTTTATTTCGTACTAAGCTATTAACATTTCACTACCTTGACTGTATCAGCAATCCTAAGTACTCATTAAAATTTATGTTATTTCAATAGAAAATATGTGTCACATGTTCAAAGAATGTTTTACCGAAAATCCAACTAGGTAAATGGAAATTCACTTAGTCTGCAGGTTTATTGCAGCAGAAGTATTTATATTATTTTCCGGTAATGAATCATTGAACAATCCAGAATGAGGAATTGCATTGTATTTTCAATGATGGAGATGAATGAATGACTATGTTGGTACAGGTGGAGCATATTCTAGAGTTTCTGGGAGACCACGCCAAGAACATAGTGTTCCAGGGAGTTCACATGGTCTACAATGCTCAGGTGAGTTGCTTGATGTGTGTTGTAGGTTTATAGACAATGCAGAGTTTTGCTTGTGACAAATCATTAGTTGGGGTTTCAGAGAGTGCTTGTAATGGATGAAAATGTGTTGTTACATTGTTGGTGTTGTTTAAGCTGTGAAATAGTGTGTATGGTTCTATTAATTAGGGAACTTTCAATTTCGAAATTGGACATTTATAGCAGTTAAGTAAAGAGAGAAGGATAAGAAAATGAAAAATGTATAAATTGACTTGTTTTCTCATTTGTTAAGCCAGGTAGTTTATACCATTTGTGTCACCTATACAATTCTTTTCAGAAGTTGACCTAATTTGTTATACAGTTTTTCATATCAACCACATGACTGAAAACCTCTGGAAATAATAGTTAGCAACAACTGTTTATAAAATCATTTGATCATTGTTATTAGTGCTGCCTTCATTCCAAGGCATGAATATTAATTTTTTTTTATAACTAAGTGGTTGCTAATAATTGTTGTAGTGTTTCAACTTTTAAATAAGTTTCAAACTATGATTGTAATTTTTTCTGGTTTATATTTATAAGCAGACGTTTCATAATATTTATAGTAATGAGTAAAGTTTAAGTTCTTATGAATGTATCCTTTGGTGGTCAAGTTTTGCCCCTGTTTGTACTTGTTGTGAGCTGTGGTGGTGATGCAGGGCCAGCCGAGTGGAGAGGCGTTCATCCAGATGACATCGGAGTCTGCTGCGTTCCAAGCTGCCCAGCAGAAGCACCACCGCTACATGGTGTTTGGCAAGAAGCAGCGTTACATCGAGGTGTTCCAATGTAGCGGTGAGGACATGAACCTGGTGTTGACTGGTGGAGCCGTCAGTCCCGTGGCCAAGGCTCTGCTCAGCCCGGGTATGTTGAGTTCCCCCCCTCCTCCCCCTACACCTACTGCCGCTCCACCTCCACTCCCTGCCGCCCCTGTACCTGCACAATTCGACCCACTCATGGCCGCTGCTATGCAGGCCCAGGCCCTTGCTCACATCCGCCAGAACCAAGAGTCCCTCTGGATCATGAACCAGATCGCGGTCGCCCAAGCCGCTCAGCAACAACAGCACGCTCTGGCGATGGCTCTTAAGCAACAGCAGTATCTCCCACACGAGTACCTTCACTCCCCACATGTAGTTGTATCTTCTGCTGCTCCCTCTGTCCAGTCGCAGGTTTCTACTATCACAAGCAAACCGATGACGTTTCCCCCCTCCCAACTTATGCCGGCCGTCACTCCGACACCTTACTTTGTTCTGAACTTCCCCCCGAGGATCCCTCCGCCGACTTTCCAAAAAATGCCCCAGCAGACCCAGATGGCCAACCCCTATGCGGCTTATGCTCCGTTGTCTTTTGTCCCTCCTCCCCAGACAGCAGCTGCCTCTGCTACACAGCCCCTTGTCAATTTGAAGCGCTCATGGGAGCAAGCTTTCCCAGCCCCCACAGCGGTCAGTGAGGCCAGTACAGTCCCCAGCAAGAGACAGTTTCCCACAACTGCTGTATCCTCGGCATCCCAGAGTTTCCCCACCAATCTCCCCCCTCCTCCCCCTGCTCCTTACCAACCTCCTCAGTTCTATGCAGGACTGTGATCCTTGAATCGATCTCTCATTCATGTACTTAACAGCAATAAGCGAGAGACTGACATTCCGTAGGTTGTGGTCGAAGCAGCTAAGCCAATTTTAACATTCCATCCCCAATGTTGTTTACTTTATTTTATTTCTATTCCTTTGTGTACATACAATCGAGTAAAACTAGTTTTAGATGATTTTTATTGCTGAAGTCATATATATTTTATGTAACGTTATCGATTGTTCTTGACTTGAATCATTTATTTGTGCCTCAGTTATTAACTGTTCCAAGTTTTATCTTTTATTCCTAATAATGTACTTACATTTTTAAATAAGCACTCTATGATTTTAATTTGTTTTTAGTGAGCAAAGTGTTATAGTATGAGTTAGCGTTAGGAGTATTTTGAGGATTTTTGTTTTTATGACTAGTTTGTTGTAAGACTCGCTCAGTGCCTTTTTGATTCTCTATATTTTTGTACAACGCATATTGTAAATAGAAAGTAAAGTACATGTTTGTCCAGTTTGCTAAGACTAATATTTAAGGTTATGGTTGCTGATATGTCAAAGCGATGTTATTAATCTTGCAATGCATTTTGGGAAGCATTTATGGCTTTAAATGTAAACTCCATTTACCTGACCGTGTTTCTCCTTTTCCCTTCTTCAATGAAATATTTGGTTTTTCTTGATCTTAAGGTTTGTTGGGTTGTTCCTTGTTTTTGGCATTGGGTTAATCTTGTTTCTTCTCTTCCGTTACTGTTGCTTTTTAGTAGTGTTATTGCTTACTTATTAATATTCATTCTGTGATACTTAAAATAATGCTGTGTTCTTTTTGAAGTTTTAGCAGTTTTTATAACAGATTTTGAGAATATTTTTTGAAGAAGAGTTTATGGTAACATAATTTGTTAAACTTTTGAAGTTTAAGAAATCCTTTGACTAGGGCCTATTTTTTTAACGAGCTTTTTGTGAAGTGAATTTTTTATTTAGTATAAATAATGAAGTAAATGTCATGTACTTATTAGCTTAGTAGCCTTAAGTTTGTTAAATATATTTTTGGAAGTTTATTTTTAGTCACTATCTGATGCTGACTTGTGTAATGGATATAAATTCAATAATATTTTTTATATTGTAGCCAAGAGCACTAGAGAATTTCACGGTAGGTATAAGAATACTTTTATTACTTTTAATACTTTTAGTATTCACAACAATTGCATTTGCAAAAAAAATCTAGTGTTTCAATTGTGATTTGTAAATATTGTAGCTCACATTTAATATTTCGCACAAGAAGATTCTACCGAGAGGTTGATGGGACCAACGTGAGATAGTATCTCATTTGAGAAAACATTCCATTATTAACTTAACATACTAACACGGAGTCTCTGTGATACGCGGCAGCTACGGAGAAATCCCAAATATTTCACACTCCTGTGTCTCCCTCCTCCTTCTCCCTAGGTTAAGTGAGAGCCTCAGTTGACTCTGTACATTGGTGGCGACTAGTGTCGTCTGCTGCTGGCTTCGCTAGCGTGTTGTGGCGTGGGGACATTATGCTTGTGCATGCATCCAACACTCGGATATTGGGTATCACTCAAACGGTTCTGGTTACGACACTGATACATTAATGTGTTGGTTATACCTCGGATTCTGGTTAGTAGGTGAACAGGTTGTTGTAGTGATTATTTAGTGATCTTGGGTACTTAAGATCGGCCGTACTGTTATTTTTAGCACTAATAGTATTGTTTTATTTTCTGGGATTGTGTTTTTCAGGTTGATATAGTTGTTTTGAATTTACTATGGTGCCCTTTGCTGCTCTTTTATTTTAAATTTGGTTGTTTTATTTTACTTTTTCAGGGGCTAATGAAGATTACTAAATGAATTTTATTTTCATTTCAACTACAACTGAGTTTAATTTTAACTCATGAAAACTAGCACAGAGCGCAGGCTTTGTTTGATTAAAAGTGATAACTGCATTTTCCTCAGTTCCCTTTTAGTTTAATGTCCATGCTACTGTTGCATAAGTTTTAAAAGGTGTCATTTAATATTGTAAAATAGCAGTTAGCAAATGAAAAAATATCATATTATGTTGTACTAGTAAAGGATAATATGTAAGGATAACAAAATACTAACGATAAATTATACAAACAAATATAACAAAACATGGTACTAAAAAGGGCCAAGTAAAAAACAATAATCTGATTGTGAATAGTATACAAAACTCTATTATACATACTAAAAATTAAGATTAATTTTCACATAGGGGGTAGCTAACCACTAACTATCGTAAAATCATAATAACAACACGTAACATATACCGACACTCCCCATCGGGGTTTAATACTCACGTTTGTATAAACATTAATAAACCTGTAAAACTAAGTTCTATTGTATTTTTTAAGATTTTATTGGTCTTGAATCGACGACCTTGTGCCCTATGTTACATCAGGAAGCAAATACATATTGAAAAGCAAAATAGGTAAACTAAATTGCAATTAAGCCAGTTTTCATGATATTCATATGAGTTTGACACAATAATAAAAGAGCAGTTGGGTGGCACAGACCAGAATCCGCGGTTGGTTCGGGCGCAGTACACACTAGCGAAGGCAGCAGGCCTAGTTGTAAGTCTGCTTCTTGTAGAAATGATGTACAATAAACGTTTTCAAAGTAAACCAATGGGTCGTTTTGTTGCACCTGGGCAGGGTGGTTTTTGGTTCAATGTCTCAAAACGTTAGAGCTAGGGAGATCTCTTTCACGTCTTAAACAACAAATAATCCCAAGCAGTAAAAGAAGAAAGATTTTTGACTGATATAATTTTTTTAATAATTTTTTTTAGTAGTTTTTTTATGGTATTGAATGCTGGAGGGAGGGTTATTTGAAGATAAAAATTTAGAGCTTAGAAAGTAGACAAATTTACATTGTAATCGCTGCATAAAATATTGGCACGTTACGAATTTGCTATACAACCAAAGATAATTTAACTTGTTATATCACATTCAGAGCTATCACCAAATAAACAAACATTTTAGTCAAAATTTTTATTAAAAAAAAGTGTTATTCAAAAAGTTGTTAATGATTGGAAAAGTATAATAACTAATTTTAGTAATTGAAAGAAAGAGATCTTCCATTGAAAGTTCTAATATTTCCTACTCAGTAAACAAAAGTCTGCTTTTCTACAGCATTACCATTCTTTTAGACAATTGCAGCTTTTCTTGTGGCTCACTTAGACAGCAGGTTTTTTACTGGATACATAACCATAACTTTCCTCAAAGTGAATAATAATCAGATCTTTGTTCTAGGATGAAGAAATTTGCTCTTGAAGCAGAGTGATTTGTTATAAAATTAAAACATGTCAAGTATAAACCTGTTGTCTGCAAGGTACACAACCATAACAACTTGAACTTGTAACATGGTTGTAAAAGCATGAACAGTCAAACGTCTCACGTAGAGATAACATTAGTAATGTGTGCAATGGTAATAATTTTTCAGGACTAACCTCCTTCGCACGGTTCGCCAGTGAATTGATACAGTTGCTTGTTATGACAGTCTGTTCTAAGGTTTTCTGAGGTATTCGCTCATCCTAATCTTTTCCTTAAGCATATCATATTCATTTTTAGATCGCTTGGTATTTTTTTCTCGAATCAGTTGATTTTAAAGTAATTTTCTTGGCATAAGAATGAATAAGTTTTCTGATAAAAGAATAAATTACGAGCAGTGTTAGATGTTTTTTTTTGAGTTAGCTAAGATGTATACAATTTTAGAATTTTAATTTGTTTTTTTTTACTGAAGTAGTTAGTTACTGAGTTGAAGTGCAATATTTCTTGAGTTTGGAACTGAAAATTTGTTAATTTAACATAAAAAATGTTTAAAAGATCAAATTATGGAATCAACTGTTAATTAAAATGCTCTCCAGTTGTTTTTTGTACGGGTTTACTTCAAAAGGTTCAGAAATAAAACATAATTACATCATATGGGGTATGTACATTATGAAATGGGAATCAACATAGATTTTTAAATATGACTAACTGATTTTATTAATTAAACAAGTTTGTACCTGACTTGATAGGTTAAATTTATATGAATACTGAAAACTATTTAAATAAAAACTTATGCTGTTTAAAGTTTACCAAACAAAATAAACTTACAAGGGAATTATTTAAATAATTTCACAATCTGTATGTATTTAAATAACTTTTATAGTCAAAAATAAAATATGTGTAATTTTTATTAAAATTAAAATATATAAACTTAAAATACCTTTTACTGTGAAACTATCCAGTTTTTTGTCTAATGACCAAGGTTTTGGACCTAAAATTTCATGTTCAGGTTAACCAAGAAGTTTGAAATTCTCTTCATCCCAGTGGTTATCCAGTACTTACCTCACGTCAGCTATACCTTGTCCTCCTATCAACATCACAATTCGGCAAAATATTTGTTACATGTTTTTGTATTTGTGTTCATGTAAGAGTTTATGACGACTCCCGATATACATGGGGATGAAGAGCAATTTCCCAACTACTTGGTGAGATTGAAAATGAATCTGAAGATTCTAAACCTTGATCCCTTTACAAAAGCTGGATCATTTGACAGTACAACGGGTAACCTTTTTATTTGTTTCAACATGACCCAGAGACTGAAAAATGTTTAGATTAAATTTAAAGTTGATCTCGTTAAATACATTTCCAGGAACTATATCTGTTAAAAATATGTTTGCTACCATCCATATCTTTATTGGTGTATTAGCTACTGAATAATACCGAACTTTCACGTAAACACTTAGTTATTTGTAAAGACAGGGGTTGGGTGGTTGCGGGTTGGTGTCGTGTGTGTAGTGTAGGTGTCCTTGTAAGGTAGCTGAGGTAGCGGACTTGTGTGGTGGTGCTTGGGTCATGATCGCTTCTCTTCGTCACTACAGGTACAAACTTCTACCACTACTTTACCATAGTTTCCAATGTTGCTCCGCTTTTGACTACACTGTCAGGAAATTCATACGAGAACGTTTTCTTGAATTTCAGCCTTTTTGACTATAAGATGGACTTTAAATATAAGAACATTTTTTAAACTATTAATTTGCTGTTGTGAAATATTTTTGTATATTTCTATTGATGTTTTATCAACTAACTAAAACTTCTTGGCATGTAATCAAAAGCAAAGTAACTACTAATCTAGTTTACTAAGTGGAAAACAGTAGTTTCATTCACCTAATTTATAAGATTTTGATTTTATTTGGTTCATTATTTTTTTAGTCATTAGTATCCTTTCTAATTAAAAAAGGAAATAAAATATCAGTTCTCTGATATTTGTTAACAAAAATACACAATGATTCTTTTCATTGTGAATAGGTACCCTGTAAAAATATTGAAAATCAATAAAACTGTTATGTTTTAACTTTATGTTGAATTCAGTTTACAGTAACTTTGTTTGCATAAACCAGATGAACAATTGCCTAATTGTCGAAAGGGGCTTAGAATAACTTGTATTCATTATTATTGGCACCAAGTTCATGAGTTGTCACAACTAACTGCATGAATGGGAACTAATAAAAAGTAATTTCTAAATTTTATTGATCGTGTCACTAAAGTCAAACATAAAAGTTTAATCATCAGTTAACACATAGTACTAAATTTATACATTTAAAAACCCTATATTAACTTTATATTTAGATTGAATTAAGATTTAATAATACACTTATATCTAATGGGACTTGAAAGTTTGTTTTCCTTGTACAGATTCAATCTTGTTCAAAACAAATTTTCTTACGTTAGTAGTTTGTTTCACCTTTTAAAAGAAGTTAACATTTGAAAGGCACTCTTTATTTTACAAATTGTGAGTTTTTATGCTCAGTTTCATTATATATGTATGTTTATGTATAATCCACATATACTCCATTCCAAGTTCACTGTCAGTACAGGGTACATAAGCCATGTATTTCTAATCACAGTTTCAGCAAAACTAGCTACCCTTAAAATATCTAGACTGGAAAATTCTTTCTTACGCTTTCTCATTACCATACTAATTATGACTTTACCAGATTCTAAGTCCAAATCATAGAGTCAAATATTAATTTTGTAAAAAGCATAAAGTTACAGAAATATGCCTTAAGGAAGGTTGTGATGTCCTCATATGATGTTGGGATGTTCACGCAACTCGCAGTACAATAAACTTTAAATATGTTTTTAGCTATGTTAAGAGACTACCTACCAATAGACCTGTATTGTAAGATGTATTATGGAATTAAGTGTAGAGTTAAACATTTATTATTTTATTATTTGTTTAGGTTTTTGTGTAAGAGTGTTTGTGTTTTGTTACAGGAGGTACACCGACACTGGCACCGCCGCCTCCATTTGCCCCACAGTACACGTTCCTCCCCTCTCCTCTGATGGGTCGTCCCCCACCACCTCCCCCCTTCTACCCTCAGATCCTGTACTGGCCGTACCCCTCCCCACCAGTCAGCCCCCCGCAGCCTCCCTCTGCTCTACTCATTATGCACACCGACCCTGCCAACCTGCTGCATTCAGTGCCTGAGGTAAGGAAACGTCTTCTGCCTTTTAGTGTGATTCAGTTGGAATTTAAATTTGTGTCCAAACTGTTCTTTCTCTTTGTTTTGAATTCTGAATGTATTATTTTTCTCAAGTGGCAAAAATTTGTGTTTTTCAAGTGAAAAGGTAATGTAGTTACAGCACTAATTCATACCAGGCCATATCCAGAATCTATGAGGCTCACGGCAGCTCACACTAGAGAAGCCTCTGATTCATCAGTAGCTGGGGCTTAGGCGGTTTTGAAGAATATGTGTGAACACGTGGTAAAGTTTCAATGCGATGAACTCTACCCTTTGTTTTCTACGATCTGATTAGCGGATGGACCTAAAAGTCTTGCTTATAAATAGTTTGTGAGCGCCACCTGCAGTCGCAGGTAAAATCGTGAACATCTTCTACAGTCGCGGAGGAATCGTGAAGTCTCTTACGTTAGTTGTGAAATAGTGAATATCTTCTACGTCTCCTGTGGTCACAAAGGATTCATGAATGTCTTCTGTGTTTACGGAGCCTTCACCTTTGTCTCACGTGGTCTCGTCTAAATAGTGATTATCATCTGCGTTTTTGGATGGATAATTTTTGTCTTCTGGGACTGTGGTGAAATCATGAACGTCTCTTGTGTTCGCAGTGATATCGTGAACATTTTCTGTGGTCGCGGAGATATTGTGAACATCTTTCGCGGTCACGGAGATATTGTGAAAATCTTCTGCAGTCGCTGAGACTTCATCATCGTCTATTGTGACCGTGGCGAAATCCTGATTTTTGATCATGCAATCTTCGCAGACTTTTTGGCGATGGGGAAGATAAAAGCTCGGCTCTAAATTTTATTAACTACCAGATTGTATATGAAATTGATTCTTCGATAGAAAAACATTTATTTTGTAGCCCCAAGTGGTTTCATATAAAGTATCATTCAAGACTACTAACTAGTTTTAAAGACAAACCTAAGCTTGATTATACAATCTACATTGGTCAAGGCAAAGTCACGTAACCCACAGAATAACTAAAAACCACTTAAATTTTTTAACCCATCATCACAAATATTTATTGTACTACTGTTACTATAATTTCATAGTATTTGGGTAGGGTAATATAAAAAGGTTGGTTACTGAAAATCGGATAATCAAGATTTTACTATACATAAATTATTTCACAAGACTTATCACAAGTTCATGAAGTGCAGTAGTCCTGACCACATCTTGAGAATGATAGACCTAATCTGAATTCCTTTTTATGTGGAGGGTGTATAAAACCATAATTTTAATAACAATTGCAACATTTCTGTTAATTTTAGACATGTTAATAATAATAATAATAAAAGGTGCAAGCGTTTTCAGATATGTACAATTCTGCTTTTTAATCAGAACAATATGAACAACTCTTGTCATTAATCTACTTAAACTATATATACTGTAACTGTAAAACAATCATTATCAAAGTTGTTGTTTGTCGTAGTTGTCCTAAGCAGTGGTTTTCTGTTGCAGTGGGGGATGGACTACCTTGCTCCCAGTCATCAGCTCGGTGCCCAAAACATCGGTGAGTGTAACTCACTATGTAACTCCTAGTAGCTTAAATCCCTGTATTTATAATCGTGGAGACATTTAGACTAAAGGTTATTGCTGTCATTCCTTTGCATAATCAAAGGATGCCTTTAATCAATCACATTTGATGCAACAGACTTTTTTGTTATTTTTAATTCTGCTAGCACCCTTGATTTTGATGTTTCAAGGATTACACATGGACCCTTGTATGACTACGTGATGACTACTTTAATATTGTTACATGTTGTCGCTATGTACTACAAGTATAATAAAATAATTACATCTTCCAAACCTTTCTGACATATCTACACTTTTCTTACTGATGATGACCGGAGTGACTGGTTAAAACCGCCGTTGTAACTTGTAAAATCTTTAATGTATGTTCAATTTATTAAGAAGAAGGAAGGATACACAACTAACTCAGGTGACTAAAGTGTCCCAGGAGGTCAAAAGAATACAGAAAAGTAACACAATTTAACTGATATTTCACAGAGATTTTGTTAACAAATTCTAAAGCCAAGTGGCTTTTTTGCCTTCCTTCAAAAAGTTAACCATGCTGTAAATGTTAAGAGTTTAAGTGAAGATATATTTAAAAGTATTGGATGATTATTTGATTGTTTGTAAATAACCTTCTGTAAGTTCACAATAATATTGACACAATATTTTAAGTTTACTCTTCAGTAAGTGATTAGAACAAGAAGTAGAAAACTCTTCTGATGTATCTAACAAAAAAGTAAGGTTTGAGTTTATTTATTCAGTGCTAGTTTGTTACATTTTTTAATTTTTTATTCTGACCTAAATAGAATAGAAAATAAGTTGTAGATCAGTTCAGAACCCTTCCTGTGGAAACAGTACCTAATTGAACACCACACAATCATGTAGTCATCATGAATTGAGTAGGCTACTGTGAAATTGTTACTGTACTGGTGTATTTGTACACTATAACGGGTGAATCGGGTGTTGTCGTGATCCAGGGAACAGAACAGTGGCCATGTACAGTCATGAAAATGCATTGTTTTAATATATTGGGGTAATAATTTGAGGCTACAGTTACAATAGTGGTGTTTTTACTTTTCCAGTAAAAACATTTTTTTGTAATGATCAATATTGTAAATGGCAAAAGTTACAAGTTGTAATGAACGACAACCTAGAAGCCTCAAATCAGTTTGACTATGAACAACTGTTAGTTTGATGATTTTTATCATGTTTGCAATGTTGTTACCCGGCCTTAGTATGATGGTAACTGTACTGTGTGTTGTAGAATAAGCAGTTAATGAACCACACAGGGACTGGTTGTTTCAGGCCCACTGGGGATGCACTCTGCGGCCGCCTGACTGTAGCCTCCCCTGCCCTGCTCGTCAGAGACTATAGTGTTATAACTGAGCCAAAGTTGAAGTAATATAATCGTTTTGCATGCGTGAACAAGTGTCTTGTTAGGTTATGTGGCGAATCGTCCGTTCGCTGTCTTTTATTCAACTGATTTGTCGTCAAAGACGGTCGTGCAGATTTGTGCTGGCAAAGAGAGTACGCTTGAAATGGAGTCGATAGTCAGATTACCTTTGTAACGAAGCATGTCGAGTTTAATTATTAGACTATACGTTAAGTAGTATTTTTGTAAAGAGCTTGTATTAAAAATACATAACTGAATGTTAGTCGTAAGTGCTAGTTAATTTATTTAAGACGTTAAGTTTATGTCAGATAGTCTATTTTTGAAACAACATTGATCACGATGTCTTCCCTACGTTGTCAATTGTGTTCTTTTCCGTAGGCAGGTTTGAGACTTCATTACTATGTGTGTAAAGATGCACAGTGTGTTCTTAATATTCTATGAAAATTTGAAAACCCTCAAATAGGTTGTGTTTAAATAAATCATTTGTAAATATTAGAATAATTTAAGTTATACATGACATTATGGAACTGTTATTTTCTTGTATCGAGTCTAATTGATTTATTTGTTGTTATATTTTCTGTTGAACTTTAAATTATTTAATAGATTTCATAAAATCGTCTATTGAAAGTGTGCTTATAGTTTATTTAATACGTTAAGAAATCTATATATTTGTAAACGTAGCGTAATATAAGACATATCAGAAACACAACGAATTGTACTAGAGAAGTGCAATACGGTGTTTAGTTTAGGTTAAGTCTAGCTTGTTTTGTCGATAGTATTGACTAATCAGTTTATTGAATGACGAGTGTTGTGTGTTATCTTTGTTTGTGTTTTTGTGTGCACTAGTTCACATTTTCCTAGGCTGTGTTTGAATTCAAAATATCAATTGATAATTTGAAGTGCACATGACTTTTCGAGTGGTAATTTTTAAAGCCCAATGTTTTTTGAAAATAAACCCCGAGAGGTGGAGCAGATCTCCGTGTTCCTAGTAGTGTTATAAAACATCGCCTTGTCTTCGTCTCCAGTATTACAGACAAGAATCTCATTCGACCTGTGTTTTATCTAAAGACGAGTTGTGCAAACTGTTAATCGTGTTGAAATTCCTGTTAGAACTTTACTTTGTTTATGAAATACATAACTTATACTCATTAAACGATTCTGGGACGATGTTAAGTACAAAAAAGATTGAACAATCCCGCAATTTTAACTGAAATAAGACAGAATTAGAGATGTGATATTTTGCTATATCGATTACATAATATTAAGCTGTAGGTATAAGTTGTTGTTAGATGCATAATCCTGCCATCTAAACTTGTCTAAGCCGATCTAAACTTTTCCAAAAATTGTGACCTTTGGCATTACCTAGTAGGTGATTCGTGCTAACGGTAACAGCTTTAAGAACAAACTACCACCATCGAGAGACGTAACTCCGTTTACGATAGTTAAGACTATGTGCAATAAGCTAAGAAAGAGATATTAATATATATTATTGACTAGTGTTATTCAGTCTAAATAAATAACGTAGTCCGATTATATTTAGTTGTTATTGACTTTGCTGTTTCTGTTATTTAGAGAGATCATAATTGATATGAAATAAACTTATACACATTTTAAAAACTAAATTTGTGTTAATATTTTTTGTCTCTTCTAAATGGAATATATACCCTCCCATTTTTGTACAGCCTTTCTTCTCCTTAGTTTTTTTAATTCTAGCACAACCCTCTAAAGGGAAGAATGTATAATAGGCTACTTATATAAAATAACGTATATTATTTGCAGCTATTGGCCAGTCAACCAAGAATTCAGGAGATGGGTAGTGAAGCTCATACTCCACACCTTATGGTTCAAAATCATGTCTCATGTCACCATTGTTTAACTCTCTCATTAGATATCATATCATTAAGACAGGGACAATCAAGTGATCATTACTTTAAGACGGCGACACACATTTGAATGTATGTTTAAGCTGAATACATCTGCAGGGTGAATTAGGATGGAGAGAGACGATCAATATAATTGTTCACCGACAGACCAGTTGGGTGCAGTTTTTCAGCAACGGACAATCATGATATCACAGAAAACTCTGTATAATAATTGAACATAGTTTAATTTACATATTCTAACACTAAATAAAATACATATCTACAAGTCTCTTAAAAATATCACTGAAAAAAATACAATCTTTGTTTTGTAAATTATGACTAGACACGTTATATACATTTTACGATTCCTTAAAGTATAACACATAAAAAAGAAGTAGATACAATAGTTTTGACCACCTAAGTACACATAGAAGTAAGATTTATTTTGAACATTTCTTTTATAGTTTCTCAAGATATGTATTAACATTAATGTTACATTTTTACATGCAGAAAATGTTTAAAAAGCGGGGAACTTTCTTCCTAGGAAAAAATTACATTACAAAGCTGTTACGCACATACACTAATAAAGAGAAAGAAGTAAAACAAATTACTGTATGTACTGTGTGAAGTAAATACAGCTTGAGATTGAAGTGGATCTTGTGGAAAAGCTAACATATAAGCACCAATTCTTCAGATTTGAGGAGTGCAAAAAACTAACCTAACATTCCCAGGATGCACTAGTGGAGCTTAATTACTCAATTAATTTTAGTTCATCTTACTTACACTTCTTCTCAAGCTGTAAGTACACGTCATACAATTTTGTTAACTATTTATAATGCCACAAATCAGTTTAACAACACTTTTCTCATTAAAAATCTTGTGAAAAGAATTTAAACTTACCTAACATGACTATAAAGAGGAATTTTACTGTACAAAGTTACATGACTTTAAACAACTCTACTTAAAAAATAATATTTGTCTTTGTTAAATTAGTTTTTATAATTACAACAATTGAGATATACTTTGGCCAATCTGATTAGCAATACTAACCATTCTACTTAAGAATTTGTACTTTTTAAAGTTTCATTCTTACATAATTCTGTTTGCTCATCTAAAATACAGGATAATTAACAATATATCAATAACTTGTATTACACAGTTTCAAAACGCCATAAAACGTGTATTTAAAATCTAAGAACGCCGAAAAACTTATAACTAAAAATTAAAATGTAATAATGCCTTGAGCTACGTTTTAATAGTAATAACCTGAACCCGAAGCTGTGTGGGTGTTATGTATCATCTAAGCCACAAAGAAAAATATTTAAACATTTTACATATTCTTAAAAAAACCTCCAATAATGTTTTCAATGAAATTTTGCATGCCAAAAAGTAAATAGTAACAATTGTTATCGACTGATTAAAAACATTCTCAGTAAAGAATAAAAAGCAATTATACATCGTAATGGAAATAATCAATCACTATATTTTTACCATTTATAAAATCTTCAACTAAGCACATTTTCAATTTTTTCTTTCTAAATCACTACTTGTTTTATTTGGTGTTAGCAATTTTGAATGCAAGCAAAAAATTTACATATTCTTATTATATTTGTAAAATTGCTAACTGTAATACATGAGTAATGTTCTATTAAGCTTACGTAGGTTGGTTGGCATAAGTTGTGCGTTGTTTAGTAAAACTGCAATGTTGAATTTATAGAATTTTGATTAGTTTTTTTTTTCAAAAAACCTGATTCTACTACTTTAATAGATTACAGTACTTTAAACATGCAAAAAGTTTCAAAATTAATGTAACAATTTTTCTAAATTGCTCTACAAATATACATAAAATATCACTGCACAATAATTTGCACTTTTCAAATTAAAACCTCAAATAACCTATGCATTTAAAAAGCTATCTTTCAGCTTAAACAACTTAATGTTAACTGAGCTATGATTTCATTTTTTAAATTACCATCCATATTGTTAATTACATACCTAGCCTATTCAACATTCAAACATTCACTTTATTCAACGAAATGCGATGGTTAGCAAAGACACGGCTTAGTTACTATTTGCCACCGCAGCACCAGGCGCAACACACGTAGGGACAGCATTGGACCACTTGCCGTTGTGTTGGCAACGCAGCATGGCGGCTCCTTGCATCACGAGACCGTCATCGCAAGTGAACGTCACTGTTTCATTGATCTGGTAGTAGAACTTGACTGAGGACATGCGACCACTGATTGCTGTACCCGGGTAGGCACAAGCTTGTACACCTGAAACAGAATAGAAATTTGCTAGGGAGGGAAATGCCCAACATAATAATTCAAATAACATAAACCTTTTAACTTACAGGTACACCATCACAAAAAATAAACTTTTACCAAAGAATATTCATTATTGTTTAACTTTTCAAATGAAAAAAGTCATTTTGTAAGGGATGGTTAAGTATGAGCTTTGACTATTAATACAGCTAGACATTCCATCCCTATGTTAAATTTGTCTCCAGCTTTTTTACCAAAATCGTCGTAGTTGATGTGAGCCACCAACAGATTGTGCTGATCTAAACTACTGATTTCTGATGAATACACAATCTTGTTTACCAATTCAAACTAATGGAATTACTTATTGTGAGCTTATAGTAACTGTTATGACCCATCGACTTGGTCAGCAAGAAAAAATAGAGTTTTAGCATGGTTTTAGTCACTAGCGCATTCTGTGACTGGCTCACAAAACTACGTTCTTCTTTAACAAAAGATTGGCTACAGCTGACGGTCTATATTTAATTCTTTTTGTCTATAGCAAGGCTTACTGGCAATTTACATCAGTAAATTACCAGAACATTTAAAAAACTTTAAGAAACTTCAGAAACTTTCAGAAACTTTAAAAAGTGTCTGAAAATAAAAAAGTTAGCTGTATTCAAAATTTTGGAAAAAGCTACTGTTTTGGATGATTAAACACTTAAAACTTCCTACATCCATCCACCTTATTTATCAAACCTATTTTTAGACCTTACGCCAGTAAAAAAGTTTACATTAAAATTTCTTTGCGTGAATCAAGAAATAACAATCATAACAATCAAAAAGGTCGCCAGTTCAATCCTGAGAAAAATCAGTACCTGAATGAAAAAAATGGTTTAAAACTGTACTTAACAGTCCTCGATCATTGAGGTTGACATTTTTCAGGATTAAACCAGCAAGCTATCCACTCAGCTTACAAGCTACAGCTAGATCGCCGGATGCAAATGACTTTGTCTACTAAGGACCTTGCGTTGAAGAGGCTGGGTACGAGTGGTCACTAAACTACATGACACTTACACCTAGGCACGACCCCTGACCATCGGCCGTTCTCCTGGCACGCGATGATAGGCTGACCCTCCATCATGTGGTCTGGGTTACAATTGAACTGTACGAGGTCCCCTGCCTTGTACACCCCCTGGCCTTGGATGTAGCCATTCTCTGGGACGTTGGGCTTGTCACACTGCACCTCTGAAATCAATAGTTGCAGAGCTTTGGCTTACAATAAAATGTATCAAACTGAAAAAGCTACCTTAAGACGGAATGAAGAGGTGGGGTGGGGTGTTGGTGGAGACTAAAACGTTCCCCAAAAGGTTTTGTGAAGGATAGGGGTAGTTAGCCCTGTCAACACCCGAGAAATTTAAAACGTACCAACTAGTTTTTAGTAGCTGTTGCAAGCAAACTAATTTATTAACTAATTTTACTAAAGGTCACAACAACAGAACTAACTATAATTGCCCATTTATTACATTTGATAATTTAGGCATTGGGGGAAGAGAGAAACACTGTGAACAATTGAAACCAACAAACACGTTTCTGAGACTCGCTGCCAAGTTAACTTTGGCATAATTAATATATTGAAATAAATAATTTTTGAATACGGCTACTTTGACTTTTTTGGGTAAAATCTGAGTTTAAAATCTTAACAAAGCGCTTACCTTTGCAGCTAGGTAAAGGTGCTGCCCACTCCCCACTAGGCAGACATGTTGAGTGTGCCGGGCCAATGAGACCAAACCCTTGTGTACAGCTAAACATAACTTGACCTCCGACCTCTCTACTCAGTATGGTGGCCCTCAGGTTGGGGTCTGACAGGTTACCCAGGTCAGGGCACTCCATACCTGTAATTAGACTCGATCACAAACACCTTAAAAACTACATTAAGTTTTTTACTTCCATTGCCATTTTTTATCAAAGAAGGTATTTGGCTTTACCGAAACTGTAGCCTGTCTCAAGTCGAGTGTTGAAAGAGACAACAATGGCAGGCCCTAATTTTATTACCTTTAGTTTCAGCATTGTTTAAGTAAAGTAGATTTTTTTAAATTTGTGGCTCATGGTTCTGATAATAAAAAATGTGCATACAAATTACATCTACTTGATGAAGTATAGTAAAAAATTAAACAAGCCAATTTGATTATTTATTCAAATAGAGTATGAGGATACATAGGGTTTATAAACAGCTAATGCATTGTTACAGAAAAGCTGTAGGCAAGACAAATTTCAAATTACTGGTTAACATTTTTACCATAAACCCTTCCGATGGTGATTTATATTTATCCTTTATCTTATACAAGTGAAGTATATTAGACCTAGTAAGGAAGTTTCTTTTTTTTCAAACAACCTTTTTTTCTTATAAACCATTCCTTTTCCCTATATCAGACAACATTTGATCCAATAGAAAACTCAGTCTTAAAAAACTGACAAGACCAAAAAGAACCAACATAACGAAAATTAAGTTGTAAAGATAAATCTTTGACAAAGAAAACCATTAAAATACAAATCATTGTCTTACTCTCGCATACAGGAGCCTGTGCACTCCAGTTTCCAGAGGGCAGACAGATGATCTCTGGCGCACCGATTAGAGAGTTACCGTTGGCGCAAGACAGCAGCACGTGTGTGTTCATCTTAGTGTTCTGTGTGCTCAGCTTAAGACCTCGGCGCGGAGGCAGCTCTGAGCAATGGACAGCTAGACATAGGGGAAACTTGAATGTTTAATTCAGAAATAACATTGAGCGGTTATTTTATTTTGAATTATTAAGGCTATAGATAAACTAAATTAGTTTTACGAGGTTGGTAAAACATAGGGAATAAAAAATAACAGTTTGGTTATAAGTTACTAAATTTTTTTCATTAAGAGTTTCAAGGACAATATAAAACTTGAAAAACTAGGGGCTAAATATATATATTTTAGTCCGTTTTACTGTAGGTTTTACCGTAGTCACAACACAGTTTTTAATGTACTGTATATTTATTTCTGTCCAAAAGTCATGGTGTAAAGCACACTCGCATGCTTTTTATTTGTTCAAATTACTGTAATAAATCTCAGTGATTTTGCTAAAGGCAAGGCTAAAGGTAATATGACAAGCCCTGTTTGTCAGGCCTAGTTTATGATTTTATTTTATTATTTTGACACCAATATTTTATGTTTTTTGTTAAGAAAAGATCCAAACTCATGTTTCTCGTGTCAACCTTTTGATCATCATCTAATAGCCCTATGATGAAACAGCATCTGGGTCAGGAACAAACCGCAGCAACATGCAGATTAAAAGGCTAGCACTGTAACAACTCTCTACCTTTCACATCTATCTCCACGCTGTGTGTGTGTCGCGTGGGTGTGATGCAGGTGAAAGTGCCGGAGTCGTCCCGACTTGCGTGGAAGATGCTGAGACGATACTCCAACTGTGAATCTCGCCCGGGGTCACTACTCCAACCCTCTGGGTACTTCCTGGCCAACAAAACACAAGATGATAGGTGTTAGAAAATAGTCCAACTGATGGAAATGTATTTGGCATAAGCATTGCATTCAACTACGTTCTTTTTGAATAAAAAATTGGCTTCAGCTGGTCCATATTATGGATGTCTGCTTCAGAAAAGTCAACAAAAGAATCCTTAAAACATACTGTTTCATGTTAAATGTTCATGTTCTTTATGATTAATGTATGTATAGATGATAATGATATTTGTACCTGTAGTTATGGCTGACCACCCACTTGGGAGTTCCAAACCTCCTTATCCAGAGGCACTCCATGTGCAAGATGCTACCCGGGTAGACGATCAGCGTCCCCTCGTTACTCTGGGCGATGGGGCCCAGCTGATGCCGAAACAGAATTGTCGGTGGTTTTTCCACTGTAAAATGATCCAATTGACTATATTAGACATAGGGAGAGCAATAAATTACTGTAATATGTACGGTATATTCAAATTTGTAAGAGAAAAATATATTTTTTTCACATTTGTTAGATACAAAATTTAGACCTGTAACAATATCAGTCTTACTTATATTAAAGGTTTTCTATTATTGTTTACCAACTTCTATGAAACTGAACATTTTATTTTCAATAATAAAGAGGTGTTATGATGGAAAAGAAGACGAGCAAATGAGTTGTAATTAAGTGGCCCTCAGAGTTGTTGTGGAGGTACCAGTATCATGTAAAATATACTATTGAGTACATACTACATACAACCATTGACTAATACAACCAAGTATTTTTCATAATTTCTTATGTCCAATATATAAACCAAACAGTGTACAAGTTACAAATAGTCATTACTTTAAAATATCAAAATTCCTAATGGGTACAAACATTTATTCACATCTTGCCTTGGAGAATCACAAGTACTAGCTCATTAAGAATTATTGATGAGAATTTTTCAGAATTTAAAATAAAAACCTCAACTGACTGTTCCTACAGACCCCAGATATCTCCATGCGATGTTCAAAGAACTGTGAAGTACTCCTACCGTCCATTATTCAACTTACAAGCGTAATCGTTTTCTTGGTTCAACCCAAAGCACACAGGCCTCTGTCCATCCCATTCACCCTGAGAACATCTTCTTCGTTTGGAGCCGATCATTGCATACTTGCCAATGTCCGCACACCTGAACAGCTGTAAGAAAGTATAGAACTTGAACATGACAGTGTATGTGTGAGGAAAAATTTAGGTACCTTAGGTATATCCTCCAAGTGCAAAGAGATACCTGAAGTGAAGAGGAACAACCAAAGAAAATGCAGAAGATAGAGAAAGATGGAGGGGCATTGTTGGTGCAGCCAAATATCCCCATGCATGGCCATGGGAGTATGTAAGTAAGGGTACTTCAAATTAAGTCATGTTAAGTCTAAGTTAAAAAATGTCAAATCTTCCACCAGTGTTAATCGAGGTAAAACAGCCACTTTAGAGCTGATAATAAATAGACCCAAATCCTAAATTTTAGATTTTTTATTGTTAATAAAACCAACTGTAAGTAAAATAATATCTCTCCAATCTATTTCATGCATGAAGTAACTAATAACTGTTACACTCACCAGAACAGTGCCAGAAGGAAATTCTACAACATCTTCTTTGATGGGTTGATCCCTGTAGAAGGTTACAACATTGGGCTCTGTGTTGCGGAATATACAAGTTGTGTTATCCTTGACTGCACTCGAGTCTTGTGGGTCCTCTATATCTGGAAGTAAATTGGTCTAACTGCAATTGTGAATATTACAAACTAAAAATAAATATTTTTAGCAACATATTAATGTTTAAGTTTCAATCAAAAAGTCAGTGGCGGATTACCCATCAGGCACAATAGGCAACTGCTTAGGGGCCGCAGGTCTCAGGGCACCGCATACAGAAAAATAAAAATAAAATTGTTTTAAAAACAGTTTGAAAAAGCTTAAAAAACTAACATGTTTAAAGCCAGTTTCTTAAAATTTCTTAAAAGTTCTAGGGGGTATGGAATATCCCCCCGGACCCCCTGTATACCTGGGGGGTATTCCATACCCACAGAACCCCCGGTACATCTTGCCAACCCAACCCTTAAAACCTGAACCCAACCTGAAGTCTGAAATGACGCCCATGGGGGGGCCCAAGTTTACATGTGCCTAGGGGCAGCTGAGGTCATAATCTGCCACTGCAAAAAGTATCCTTTTAAGTTTAGATACAGTAGGCTTTCGCTATCTCAATTTACATAAGACTACATGAGTTAAAAGTTATTGAATTAATTTATTTTTACTTTTGTGTATAGTTGTTTTTATATTTAGGAAGGTTTTTCCTTTGAGATGGAAAACCATGAGATGTCAAAAATGTTGAGATATCCAGCTTCTGGTTGGCAAGAGTTGACTATATAAAAAAGAACCAGAATAAATTTGGTGTGATAGAATATGACTACGCTCCACACGATAATGTTAAGAAACTTTCAGATTTCACGCTTTACTATTTTGTAAATGCCCCTTCTATAAAACTCACCACAACTCAAAGATCTGCCAAGCCAACTTCCGTCCTCACACACTATTCTCCAAGATACCTTTTCACCCATTATACTAGCTATGCAGTTGAACGTCACTTCGGTACCGTCAGGGAAACTGAAAGTAAATTTTGACGGTTATTGATTTATCTATGACTTTAAACCACAAACTTTAAAGAATTATTTTCCTTCGCTGTTAAGTGTTTAAAAAAATCAAAATACTTTCCAACAAAACATTTCAATCAATTTGTACAATTTTCAAGTATTACTCTACCTACACCAAGTCAAACTTGCATTCTTTTCGCCTTAGATCTGACACTAATATGTACAACACTAGGGGTGGAGGCAAGCTCAGCATGAAACCTCATAGACTTGCTAAAACGGGTGACTCCTTCAAAATCAACTCAATTTGTCTTTTTTTAACTTTGATAATAACATTTTTTAAATATAATTTATAATTCTAGCTTATTCAAAATCCTTTTTACAGCTTAAGTGACTTTATCAACTGCAATCTTGATGTTAAATTTTAATTAAAATAAGTTATTATGCTTCATTGTATTTTAATTTTATGTAATATTTTGACTTATAAGAAATTTGATTGTATTAAGATGACTATTTTGTAACTTATATGACGTGTCCTATTTCTTTCTAAAAAGATCAATGGAATAAATTATTCTTATTCTTATTACTTTCTTCCTCTATACATAGTATATACGTAGGCCAAAGCGAATATGGATTAGGATCATTGCATCATCATTTCAGTTGTATATCCGCAACCGTTAACTGCCAGAACGTGCTAAAACTTGTTTTTATTCATCAAAATTTACCATTGATTAAGTTTGATTTTTAATATGAAAATTTCTGAAAATAATTGGTTTTTGTAATAGGTAATAAAATTCTTTTCAAAATATTTTATAAAGTTTTTATTTGTTTCCACAAAGTCTAATTAAAACTATATACCAGTATTCTGTACTGGGCCAAATTTCAACTAGTATTCGGCCGAACACCGAATACTGAAAAAAGGCCAAATAGACCGAATACCAAATATTCGTTACATATCTAAAAAAAAGGACGTTCATGAACAATAAGCTGACAATGGAAGAAGAATGAGAATGGCATGTAACAGTGTGCTGACGAGTCTATGAAACAGAACTGTAATAAAACAAATATATCCAATGGTGTTTTATCAAATCAGAATGTAGTTACTGTACTAACTAACTAAGGTAACTAAAAGGCCCAATAATGCTTTGACATCACTAAACTGGTTAACATTCATAATTCATCATCTCAATTTAAAATAATCTTCTTAAATACAAATTGTTCATAAACATTACTTTAGATTTTTTTTTATGGAATTAATTTTGTTGAGTGCAGTAGTTATGCAAAAGTACCTTCTTTCTGACTCAGTAAGTGGTTCCCCGTTCTTGAAGATGAGCGAGCCCTGGACCCTGGCTGGGGGGCCACACGAGCCCCGTAGCCCCGACAAGTAGTCTATTGTATCACCTCCGGGCTTCATGATATCTCCACCAATAATGTAGTCCCCACCATCTGCAGCAAACATAGTTCCTCAGTATTATACTGTTGTTAAATCTCTTCATATGATGATTACAGACTAAAGTTTTTGGGTAGGACTTGAATAGTAAATTATGATTATGTTTAAAGGGCCATACTCAATTTTACCGTATTGACAAATGAATACCTAATGTTAAGTATGCTAGTAACACACTGATTTTAGCGAATTTCCCATATAGGGAATAAGCTATTACCGTAGTACTCATGGTAAGACCTGGACGCGGGACCAATTTATTTTTTCATTTTGAGGTCCCTAGAGGCCAAAAACACCATCCGTTCAAATTCATATATATATATATATATATATATATATATATATATGTGTCCGTCAGCACGATAACTCGAGCAAAAATGATCCGATTTTGATGAAATTTGGTACAAACGTGTAAACCTACGTTTATTCGAACGAGTTCGCAATCCAGCATGATCGGACCATGGGAACGGGGGTTTACGGGGGGTTTTATGGGGTAAAAATAGGTTTTCCCATTTTTGACACAAAAAACATAAAATTTAGCAATTTATTTCCAAACCATTTTGTAGAGCTTAAAAAAACAAATAATTAAGTATATTGAAGCGTTATTATGTGCCTAATGGTTACGGAGAAAATAAAAAAAAAATTGTATATTTAAAATTCCCATGTTATTCTTATGGAGAATAAGTAAACTGTTTAGTTTGCTTGTTTGTGAACATATTTTGATCGAATTTGGAAAATGTTTTCATTTCTTACTAACTATTCACATTTTACAAAAAAAAAAAAACAGTTTTACCCTCCCTGATGCAGCAAACCTAAGTACTTGTTTAACTCATTCTATTTAAATCAAGAATAAATGTTATATTTTTAAGTAGACATTTCAGTGTAAATCCAATCAGTCAAATGGAAATTCACTTAGTCTGCAGGTTTGCTGCGGCGGGGGTATTTACTGTTGGAACTGACAGCTAAAAATTATTAACACAGTTTCAATCACTATTTTTAACAAAAATATGTATAGTTTAATGACTTTTATTATTACTTGCCTCGTTGCCTGGTCAGAAGGAATGTGGAATGGCAATTATTTCAACATCTAATATACGTCAATCTGATCCTATCTAATATCTCACCTTTCCTACAGGAAGGTGTGTGAGGCCTCAGTTCGCCAAGGACACACTCCACTGGAGCCACTGTGCTTGGTTTGTACTCCACATCACATTGGAACATGACACTGGAGCCGTTACCAATGGTCAGACCTGCGCGGTAGCCCAGCAGGTACTGGCCATGTGATATGTGTGGTAACTCACACGGCGCTGTTAATCAGTGGTTGTAACAAACATTTTTTAGAGTCTCTAGATCATGTATACAAGCTTTTACATGAGTTTTATTACTTGATTCAAATAGTTGATTGGTAATACAATGAAAAGGAACTTGAGTTGTCTGATTTACTTTTTCTATTGTGGATTTACTGTGTTAAGACAATTTCTCTTATGTAGTGCAATAATTAAGTATTGTTTATAGTGTTACACATCTAGTCTTATGTTACATTTCCAAAACTACTATTCAATAACTGTTAGGCTACGATTACACTAGGAGGCTCGGAGGCTCCGGGACGCTGGTGTCTAGGTCGCTAGCTAGGCATTAAATCAAATGGGAGCGATTAGACTAGAAATGCCAGCATCGGATGGTAAAAAAGCCACCGGACGCTCGATTTTGTGCGCCCTAGCTGGGACGCTGAAATTTGAGCATCCGGTGTCTTTCTGCCTCCTGGGATGCACAAAATCGGTTGTGGAGCATTGGTTCAAATGTGGCGAAATATACTAGGCTGCTAGCATCCGAGACACTGTCTATCGACATGTGCGCGAATATAGGGAATAAACTATTACCGTAGGCATCATGGTAAGACCTGGACCGGGGACCGATCTACTTTTTCGATTTGATGTCCTCAGAGGCCATCATCCGTTCAAAATGTTATATATGTATATCTAAATTTATGTATGTGTCCGTAAAAGTGATAACTTGATTAATTAATAAAAAGTAATTTTTGTCCAATTTTGATGAAATTTGGCTTAAAGGTTATTAAGTCCGGAACCAGCATGATTGGACCATGGGAACTGGTTTTTTCGGTGGGTAAAAAAGGGTTTTTATAACTTTTGACCCACAAAACACAACATTTCTCAATTTCTCTCTAGAAAGAGCTTAAAAAATAAATATTTAACATATTAAAATGTTTTTGTATGGTTATTTTATTGGTTATTAGAGGAAAATTAAGAAAACGTCCCGGACGTCAGCATCCCGGACGCTAGCATCCTAGTATAATCGTAGCCGTAGTGTTTATATGTCTCTCATCAAACAGTTTTTAAGTCAGCCAAACTTCCTAGGATCTGTAATTGTTTTAGAGAATTTTTCCAGACTATTGAGTAAGATAAGTGACTTTTGAGAGGAGATTGAACATTTTGAAAACCTATTACGGTATATTTTTTTACCCATTGATGAAGTGAAATAAATTGAAGCGAACTTATCTTCTCCCCCTATACTTTACTAAGTATTGCAAGTAGGTACCTGGGGTGCAGTCGGGGAGGGCTGAGACTGCCCACTGGCCATGCCAACACTTGAGGTTACCAGGGCCCTGGACATTGTAGCCAGCCGTACAAGAAAACTCCACCACCTTTGTGAGTGAAAAACATTGTTTTCTCGTCAAATTTCAGAGCCAATTATTTTCACGGTTTAATATATTGTCATGAAGCTATAAAATATAACTTTTCCTAATAAACTGAAAAATTGTGTATTCAAGGACAAAAACATTTTATCTAATTCATCCATTTTATGAAGGTTTTTCATACTGTATTGTATTTTTTAATCAGTGGCCTTTTGGAACCTAACTTCCTGTATTCTCTGAGGCCATGTAAATATTTGTGTATTAAGAGCGCATAAGTACGTCATTGCCGCTCGAGAACCGTAGATGGCTGCACCTGCACGAAGCATTATAGTTTCAAGAGTGGCAATGACTGTTTGTTCTCGTAATACATACGAGATTTTTCTTACCATTATAATTAACCTATCATAACACAAGGATTTTCTTTTTAGTTGTATATAAAATGTCAATTAGGTTCCATGTTTACTTTTTTTTTAGGTTATGTTACTTGCCTACCGGTTTTTAAAGTAACGGCTCTGCGGCTGTGGTTGGCGTAGAAACGTCAACTGTGAAATCAGCTGATTTAGCGAGTAGGAATGGTCATTTCCGCTCTAGAGTCAAATTGAGCTATTTTGCTACTGTTTACAGGTGTGGCAATGTGATAAGTTCCATGCAGTGGTAGGAAAAATATGTAGCAAAGGAGATAATATTTTACTCAGCTTATTGTTCCAAAGCACTCACCTCATTATGACTAATTTCTGTAGTCTCATTGAGCACCATACCAGCTGTACGGCCATTCTCTACTGTAGACCGTGTAAAGATACCATGCTCACTGTGAGGAACAAAACACGGCACTGCAAAACATGAAAATGCTTTCAAAGATATGTCAAAGTAAACAGGCCAGTATTAATATATTTCCAGTATTATTATTTACAGTCTACCTACAACCTCCGTGTTATGATAGCGCTATCGTGTCGCTAAATGTTCCGTGTTCCGTGTCGTGTGTATGTAAGCTACTGTATGTGTAAATTATTTTGATGTTTTGACGGAAAGCTCCGACGATGTTGCATTGCAACGAAACATGTTAGCTTTGAATAAGACTATTTGAAGTTAGACGCAATTTTGGACTCCTGACGGCCTATAGAGTAATTTATTGCCGTTATTTTTTTATATACATATATAGAAATATTTTGCATCATATTTGTAGTATGTGTGTAATATACCAATCTAAATAATCGTCTATAAATCATTAGACATTACAATTTCGGAAATAAAACTATTGTTCGTTCTGCATATGGGAGTTAGGATTGGAACTATACCACACTGGGGCTTGGTTGGCCAATGATATTAGTGCAATAGACCGTTACGACCGATCAACGTCCAAAGTGGTGGTCAAGGTGTCTTAAGTTGCTTATTATTATCCATGGAATATCATCTTCCGGTGTTCAACTCATGAGAAGTTCACGAGAGTTTATTGAAGAGGTCTACATAAAATAAATTATGGACGGCTGGATGCAATCTTTGTGAGTTGTATTTCAAATCAGGCATATATTATGAAACAAAAATATAAAATTCAAAAAACCTTTTACATTTAAACATCATTTTTCCCTGGCATAAGACATTTTATTTCCTTCACTATTTGTTTTAACATTCAAACAATCAGTTTATTCCATATAAAACAACCTGGACTACACATTCTAGACAATGTTTAGACTCACATATTCTGCAGAATGGCTTGTCAGGTTTCCACTTCCCCTTTGCACACCGAGCCGTTCCATTGTCCCCAATGTTGACGCCGTACCCTTGATGACAAGTGACCTTCACGACCACGCCATGGGAGTACGTAATGTTTGGGTCTCGTCCGGACTTCACAATATCTAACTTAGTGTAGATCTCTTGAGCGATCGGTTCACAGGGCTTACCAACTATGGGAAATAAATTTAATATCTCTCAAGTCTTGCTTGGAATAGATGATATCACAGATGGAATGTACCTAAGGTTAGTCAAATAAAAATATTATATTGTTAGAGTGAATCATGTATTGTTACATATAATGAATCTATTTTAAACCAAAAGTAAACAATACATTGCAATACTTGTATTGATTAAATCAAGATACTGAAGCAAGATTCAGTTTTTTCAAGACCTTTGCCTCCAATACTCCACTTTATAGTATAATTTTTATTTCCAAAAGATGTGTGATAACACTTACTCAACAGTTAAATACACACCAACACTTACTTTTCCTAGGTCCGGTTTTCTTCTTCCCTTTGCTTGACTTTCCCTTCTTGCGTGTTTCCCCGGGTGGACCTCCTTCTTTGGGCTTTTCCTCTTCGTCCACATCCGGATCCGACAGGTCATCTCCAGCCTAGATAAGATTGTCTGGTGTAGGATTGTGATCAGAATGTAAAGTTGTGACTTAACCTTGCTCTTATAAACTCTTATTATATAAGGAACTAATTTACATTTTAGAATAATTAAGGACTCACAACAACAGTTTTTAAGAAATCAAGACAAAGCACCCCTATATTTGATTTTCACAAATTTGTATGTTATTTGCAAATAAATTACCATTATCATTTTAGTTTGCTTGTTAATGGATATATTCTGATTAAACAAGGACAATTTATTTATTTTATACTGAGCTATTAATATTTAAAAAAAAAACAGCTACCCTCTCTGTAGCAGCAAACCTAGGTACTCGTTAAACTTAATATTATTTTCATTAAATTCAAGTGAAAATCAAATCAGGCAAATGGAAATTAGCTTAGTCTGCAGGTTTGCTATGGCCGGGTTATTTAGTTTGGCTTGGTTTAATAGTGGGTGAATATAACAAAAATCTGTAATTTAGTGCATAGCCTACTCTTTAACATTGGAATGCCATTTCTAGTTCTCTCTGTAGTCATAGGTTATATGCCAGAAATATGCTTAGCTAATGAAATAAACACAATTTAAAATCTAAAAACAAGCAGATGAGGTTAGAAAATTCTCTTCATTAACCCTTCCTGGACGGGCGAAATTGTGATATAGAACGAGAAAAAATTATAGGAAAAAATAATAATTAATTTTCCTTATTTGTGTTTTTTTATACAAGTATACATAAAATATATAATAACACAATGGAAAACTTCATACCGTCAAAATAATTTTTTAATAGTTTTTAACTATGCGGATATATTTGCTACCTATCCGCGGATGAGTAGAAAAACCGTCTTTGAAGATATGACCATGACAACGTTAGGCAATAAACAAAGAACAATATGTAAACAATAAATAAAGATAACGTAGTGTTGAGCGCGAAACGTCAAGGAGGGAGCATAGGAGTGGTGGGGGGTGCGCGGGAGAAGGGGAGGCGTAGGAGAGGGGAAGGTGCTGGAGAGAGAAGGGAGTGTGGGAGAGAGCACAGCCATGGAGAGAGCAGGAAAGTGACTCCTTGGTACCGCGAAACATCTAGTTACTGCTCAAGCACCTGCCAGTTTGTCTGAAGAGAAGGCGGATATATCCGCTTCCTGTCCGGAACATCAAAAACCATAAGCGGATATATCCCCCACCCGTCCTTTATCGCCAAAGACTTAGGCGGATATATCCGTCACCCATCCGGGAAGGGTTAAACAAGTGACTAAAATATTTAAGAAACTTGAGGAATGTAGTATAAATTATTCACCTTGGCAGCCATTCCTGAGCCGCCTCTACCTCTGCCACCTCCGGTAGCTCCATGTTCGTCTTTCTTTGGGCTGGGAGCAGCGGTTTTCCTCATCACCGTGGTGCTTTGTCCTCCTGGCATGGCCCGACGCACTCTCACCAGTCCTGTCCCTGCGTACCGCTTGATGCGCTGTCTAGCCTCTGCGGTCTTTGCATACCGCTTAATACGTCGCAGCCGTAACCAGTGCCGCAGCAAAGCTTGCCGTTTGCTGCGGACTGAACGACTCCACCTGAGTCGAGGGTGTTGGCCTGGCACACATCTGTTACAGAAAAACTCTATGACAGAAATATTTAAGTTCATATGGCATTTGTAAGTTAAGTCATGTAAAGAAATGTCAAAATACCATGGATTAGGTCTGAAAAGAATTCATATAAATGTCAAACAATTGAGTTTTTATTTCCTTTTTAAAGTGTCTACAAGCACTACTACTTGAATGAAGGTATTTAAGTGAAGACCTGTTTATTACATATTCTATTTTTCCAGACTAGGTATTCTCCAAAAGTAGAAAGAAAGTTGATAAAAAAATATAACTAATCACAGGTCATGATTACCTGAATAAGCACCTACATCGCCTCAGAATCCATGATAGGGACATGGCGTGCAAGTGTGGGCAGTCTGAGGAGGGTGCAGACAATTAATTTATGGCTGGTCAGAGTAAGGGTAAGCATTCTTGAAACCTCTATTTTATGTTAATACTTAATGGGCAGACACATGGCTCAGAAGAGTTCATAGACAGGATCTTGCAGTTCAGAAGCGTCTCAAGATTGACAGATTCTGAGACTGTGAGTATATTAAAGAGAGAAAAAAATCTACAAGTGGCTACAAAATATGGACCTGTAGTATAAATTATGGACCTACAAAATAATCTTACCGTAAGAGAGAAAAAAATCTACAAGTGGCTTTCAATCAATCAATCAAGTACATACATTCTAGACTGTTAAATAAAATTTGTACTGGTCCTTTTTGAAGATATTGCAGAGAAATAAAACCTTACCTAGGCAGCTGTTTAGGGCTCCACCTCCCACCAATGCATGTGGCACCTGGAGGTCCATCTGCTAGAACGTAGCCTCTGTTGCAGTCGTACATGATCTGCTTGTTATTGGTCACTTTACGAACGTACGGTCGGTAGTCATACAGCCCCATGTTGCCGACCAGAAGTACCTTCCCATTCTCTACGTAACCAGGGAATGGGCAGTATACTGGAATAGCAGAAACACCAACAGTGGGATCTTAAAAGATTATTCAAGAGTGATTTTCTCACTGAAAATCAATCAGTCAAATAAAAATCTGTTAAAAGTAACTGCATATCTGTCAAGTGATCCAGTTTATTCCTGTAAGGAAACCACTGGTTTCAAATCTAAAATTTAATTTTGAACCTAAACACCTAGTTATTTAAATAATTCTTTTTATTCCTGGGGTTGTGAAGGGTCGGTCGTCATAAACAAATTAAATAAACATTTGGCAAAAAAGTACCTAATAACATTAGTAGCGAATGATGTAGCCATCAGATGGTGTGTTATGCATTTTCAACTCAGAGGCATAAAAATTAAAAACAAAATTAATGATAACAATTTTTCTTAAATAAAATAGTATCCCCTCCATATTATTGGGAGGGAAAGTAAAAGTAACCTTGATTTTAATAAACCATGAGTATGAACCTTCCTGGCAGTAAGGTGGTTCTCCGGTCCAGTTGCCAAAGAGACACGTGGTCGTCGGTTCTCCCCTGAGCGTATATCCATCCTTGCATTTATACTTGGCCTTCATACCGTGCTCAGTCTTGGGTGCAATCACCATCCCGTTGCGGGGTGACTTGGCAATGTACTTGCAACGGGCTGGAAGAAAAACAAAGTTTTACACTAAAAAATATGACAATAATGTTGCTGCAATGATTTTTAAGGAGTTCTATGATACATTGATCATGGCATGAGAGGATTCTGTTTGAAAAAGTCCATAAAATAAACCCTTTTGGCTGACTATGTAAACAAAAAATATTATAGGATATAAAAATTGCTGTGGTAGGTGCTTTTTATATCCTAAGGAGGAAAACCTCTCTTAATCTCCTAGGCTTACAAGCCTCCATCAGTGCATTTTAATGTATTAAAACAAAAAAGAATATTTTAAAATATAATATTTTGGATTAGCTTATTAGAGGTAAGTAATCAGAACATATTTTCAACAGGTCACTCTTTTAAGTGGTTAATGGCCGTAGTTGTTGCATCTTGTCAACATAGCAGACTCACCCTCATCCTAAAAATTGTATTTAGCCTCTGCTGCTTAGTGGAACAACTAGATCTCAAAACGCTTCAAACAAAACTGTCTCCTGAGTTTTTTTTTCTCTTTGTGCCAAATCGTAAGATTTTTTGGTATATTTATGTGATATAGTACATCATGCATACAAATGCTCTTGATAAGTGAATTATTTTCAAAAAACTGAACAAAAAACTACAAGCTGATTATTGTGTTGGTATACTTGCCAGGAACGCAGCGTGGTATGTGGCTCCATGTGCCGTTGTGGCAGGTGATGGGAGTGTTGTTCAGAGTCGGCTCGTAGCGCGGCTCGCACTCCAGGCTGAGGTGTTCTCCGTGGCTCACCATGAGAGGGTCGCCGGACGCCAGAGTCATGTTGGGGCGAGAAGTATTGGACACTATGACCCTGCCTTGCTGAACCGTGGGCACGACACACGGCGCTGCGGAAAACATAGTGTCAAGGTCGAGAAAATGAGGTAAAGGGTTTCATCAGATGAAAACTATCATAAATTTAATGAAGATTTAAAAGAGGAAATTTTAGGAACTAAACAATTTTTGAACAATAGGAAATCCTTTTAAAATGAAAAACAAAACACATGGTTTCACTAGCAGTTTTATGACGAAACGTAGTTTTTTAATGGAATTTTGCTTTGTTATTTGGTAATAGACGGATGTAGGAAGATACAATAGATGTAATAAATAAAGACTTCTTGATTTAATTTTTGATCTTTCTGGGGACTCAACTTTGTTTGTATGTTTATGTATTCCATTGGAATCTTTTGCTGTTTTTGTAAGGGAATGGTCCTAACCTTGGTCTTGTTAATCAACCGTTTGATGATAGCTCATTAATGATAGCACGATATTTTATTTCTAGTCACTTGCTGTGTTGAATCTATGTGTTGAATGTGAATCTATCTGTGTTGAGTCTTATGCTGTGTAAGACTGCAATGACACATTCAAATGATACCATAATAATCTTGAATGGGTATGATTAAAAAAGTGGTCATCCTTCAATTCTTATTAGAATTTTATAAGATGATGAAAATTAAAACTGACAACCATCTGAGCTAAGACAACGTTCAAATTTTGTTAACAGATGCTCTTCCACTTTTAACATATTTTCTGTATCCTTAAAAAAGACAACAAAAGTAAAATCAGTTTAGAAGCTTTTGTCCCAGATGATACCACACTAAGATTGCTACCCATGATCTTAAGACATTCTGAAAAGTTCTCTCATCCATACAAGTGCAAAGACACATATTTTTAGCATATTTGTACAACAATCATTTTTATATCCAATAGGTATTCTGACTTAACTTTAACACTTGTAGAACAATATACAACAACCACAAACAGGTTTGAAAAGCTTGATAGATGCATTAAAATTCAAGATTGAACCAAAAAATTGAAGAAAAATGTAAGAGGAGGTCAGCAGCTATTTTTAGTTCAGTACGAATCAATTCCTTCAGTTAAAACATTATTATATATGTACATGTAGGCCTATCTTTAATTTGTAATTAATCATTTTAATATCCTGGGACCCCAAATGATCCCCCCACAGCCATTCCCAGATTGGCGAATGTTTTTTAGTCATTTGATGCATTATATGGTTGGTCCAATCAGTGACTTTCAATTTGCATTATTGGCTTCTTAACCAAAGTTTTGGGAAGCCTAGATAGCATGCACTAAGACTGATAAGTACAATTAAAGTGTTAGAGCACACATTTAGAGTGAGTTTTAAAGGCTGCCAACCTAAAAAAAAATTAAAATGCTGTTTTTAATCCTAGAGGTATCCTTTTACTAATATTTTTAATTATTAATCCATTTTCTCTCAGGGATATATGCCTTGAGTTTTTTATAAGTATAAACAGCTAGGTTGGTTTATCATTTCATGTAATACACACTGATTACTGCAACTTAACTCGTTAACTTTAACGGTTATTTAACCAACTGAATATAAAACTTCTCAAGCATGTTCTGGGCTATACTCTACAAAATATATAACCATTTTATAATACCAGGAAAATATAGAACTATTATTAGCAAAATAATATCAGCCTACTGTTTGTAAGAATTAAAAACTGCTCTGACAAAAAAAAAACAAAAAAAACACAATTTTGTAATCTTGTCATTTCAATATGCTGCCAAACTCCTCTTTTGACAAAGACAAAGGACTATGTACACAGGAGAGGTGGTAAGCGTGGCATGACATGCTCTTACCCAAACATTGAGGCAGCGGGTACCGCCACCGTCCGTCACTCTGGCACACGCTCGACGTGTTGCCTTCCAGTTTCATCCCCTCTCGGCAACGGAATATGATGCTCGCCCCCAGACCGGTACCAGACTCTATATTTTCCAACCATCCGTTGTACAGCAGGCCTGGATGACCGCAGTTAATTTCTGGCAAATGGAATGGCACATGCATAAACCTCTACTGGGGATCAGTTGAGTCAAACACTTTGCCTCCGTCAGTGAGTATCTTTGGAATTGTAAATAGCTCAAAACCCTGAAAGCCGTCATTCTTTTTTTTAAATGTGAATACAATATACTATTTATTTGTCTCCAAAAACTTTTTGAAGATTTAAAATCACAAAATCTCTTGATATACCCCAAACATAGAAAGCAGGATAATTTATTGATTTCCCCCAAATTATTATTTTTAAATTATTTTTTCTTACTTTAGGAACAATGGTAGGGAAACAATATAGACATTAGGAATATCCTCATTCTTCAGTGTCTACAGTCAACAATTTTCTTTTCTAGATAAAAAAGAAATAATTTGTTAGACCGCAAAGTAAGTAAGTTTTATTTGACAGAGACAAAGTTTGGATGACAAATCCACAATATCCATACATTTAACAGGAAACCAACACTACATAGTTTTAAAAGTACAGAACTGCTTGCAACAAAATGCAATTCAAAGTATCAAATGGTATTTACAAATGATGGAGCAGATGGAAAATTATTTACAGTATAATGTAAAGTTGAACAATATATTGACACCATGGTAAATATTCATACCATTTTGAGTACTATAGCGATTTTTTAACTAAATAGAAATAAACTACAAATGAAAATAACAAAATCAATAGTGTTCTTCCATAATTAATTAAAAGTTAAAAACCAATTAAAACACAAAACTTAAAAAAAACATGGTCAAGTACGATGAAGTTGATAAAATTTACCTACAAGCTGAAAAAGCTTAAACATGCTTTCTGAGGAAGTATAAAAAGTTTAAAGATATTTACAATTAGTACTGAACGTTCATCAAACTTACCTTGGCACTTAGGCATAGTGCCCGACCACTTTTTATCCGCTCCACACCGTCGGGTTGTCTCCCCCGCCAGCGTGTAGCCGTAGTTACACTCATAGCTCACTACAGAGTTGTACGAACATGATGTAAATATGGCTTTGCCGTGGGGCGGATGCTCGGGGGGAGGGCACTGAACAGCTGTAACCACAACAAGCACACACACGCGACAACAAAAACTGTCCAACGACAAGACGCTAGACGGACACACGACATTCAACACTCAATACAACACTCACACATAGCCTACATCAGCTGGTGTGCAATAGTTAGAAAAAATAATGTTGGACAGGGTGGAGAAAGGAATCAGTAAAATTTGTACAAGACCATGAGTGTGCAGTGTAAAAAAGGTGGATACTCTCTTGTCTCAGTGATAAATTCGGGTTGCCTAGTTGAAGTATAATCCGAATCCTCGTGAATAATAGAGATAACTTATTATACAAAGAAATGTGTCTAAAATCTACAAAAAGTACAGTAGAGAATTGATTATCCAAAAGCTCTCGGTCTCCGAAACTTTGATTAACCAAAAGCAAGAAAGGAACAAAATATCTAAATTGAATTCAAAAATTAAATTTATCTGAACGTGGAAATTTACTAGCTCAACAAGTGACTGCTTCACACAGGTGTTGCACAGAAAATCACAAAGGTGTCACCTTGACCTCATATGCTCATGGGTGTTGCTAAAATTGCGGGATACAATCAAATCCAGCAAAATTTAAATTATTATATAACATTTTTCCTGTCCATGCATGACCAATTATCCAAAAAATATACTATCCGAACACCCCGAATCCACAATTATCTTGGATATCGACTCTTTAATATAAAACTTGTTTTTTTTTTTTTACTTTAACAAGGAAAGGTAAAAACACTAGTATTGTCAATATAATACATAGAACTGTTGTTAGAAAGCAAATTAATTAAGGAAATTGATGAATGATAACTATGGGTCCAAAAAAGTCTTCTTCAGGATTTAACTAGCAGCTTTTGGATTTTAAGGTAAACAGTATAACAACTCAGCTTTCCTGTCAATAAATTTTTCTTTTCTATATAGGTTATAAGTGTTCAATTTAAAATGACTTATGGAGTTATAAATATAAAATTAAAAAGTGTCACTGTATTCAACTGGCAATATTTAATTCAAATAGCAAAACACAAAGTTGATAAGCAAAAGCAAGCTTTTGTATATTTAGAAATTTTTCTCTACTTTCATTCTAAAATCCTGGCAGGAAATTGTGTTGACAGAGCTAGAAATTCCTTTCTCCCCATTTGTCCAATAATATTTTCAAAATATAATTGAGTTTTGTTTTATTAATTAAATTTTGATAAAATTAATAGATTTCTGTTGTACTTCAACTCTTTAAATATTTCAGGTAAAAGCAGTTGCAATGCAGTTATTCATTTATAAAGAATGCAAAATTTCACGTGCATTTGAGTTAATTAAATCTACCTGAAATTCAATGAAACCTACTGAAACTTACAGTCTTAACTGTCAATGTCAATGAGAAATTCTTACATATACCATTTCACACACGTTCAGAGCTGAATGCACAATAATGAATTGAGGACAAATACTTTATTCATTGTATAGCAATTTGTTTTACAACCCCTGTTGATTTTTTTGGTAAAACTAGGATTGATGCATGGTTTCAGTACAAAGTACATTAAAATATAAACAAAATTAGTTTTCATAACATTCATTGACTTCACTACTGAATATTTTTCATTGACTGTTTATCTAATATAAACGGTCTTTTGCAGTCTCTGTGCAACATTGAATGAAATAAGTATACTAGATTCATAACAAAAGAAAATGTATACTTAGATAGATGTAAACCCAGATAGAAAATAGCTTTGTGAGTAATTAATTAGATTTGTAATCATGAGGTAAGCAGTTAAAACAATTTGACAAAAGTTTTTACAGATATTAATAAACTAGCAATCTAAATCATTACCTAATTTATTCTGCATAAGGAGATCATGAGAGACATATAATCGAGATTAAATAAATATAGTCTAAAAACGTTTCAAACATACTGTTATAAGCCGGTAAATATATAAAATAGGTGGTAATGGTGATCGATTTCGATTGGACACTCCAATCATCATCAGACCCAATAGGCGAAATAAATAAAAGGTTCATTCGCCTATTGGGTCTGATGATGATTGGAGTGTTCAATCGAAATCAATCACCATTACCACCTTTTATATATTTATTTACCGTCATGTTTAAAACAGCATAAGAGTAAATATATGTTTCAAGTGTTATAGACGTATTTTGATTTACTCTCTGTACAATTAACAACACGTATTATGTTGATCAAGAAGTTATTTAGACATATAATGTTTTTGCACTTTTAATATCTTGCCAGTTCTGCTAATAAGTAATAACCAATACTAGTTTGTATAGAATAAATATATAATGTGCTCGTTATTTTAAAACTACCCAAAAAGCAGACAAATATTATAAAAGTCTTCAAATAGATCCCATCCTCAGCACCACTTTCTGTAGTGTGTGTTGGAAGTTAATGTAAGTAATTGGAGGAGGTGAAAATGAGAACATCGTGTTTGTGACAGATCCACCAGTAGGAGGAAGATTTATTTCACAAACTAACAACTGGCATAGAGTAAAGACTAAACAGTTGGAACAATAAAATTTCTTTACTATATATTTAAACACATTACAGTTTTCATGTATGTCCTATTTTGTGTTATCGTGAATGGTAAGGTATCTTCTAACACAATTCTCTTTCCCAAAAAGTTATTATTATTAACCTTAGCTATTATGATGCTATTGAAAAGAGGACTCGTCATATACAGTATTCTGAAGAGAAGGGTAGGAGAGTGCCTATATTAGCAACTTACGCACGCAGGCTGGTAACTCCTTAGGTAGCCAGGTGCCGTCGGACTGACACGTCCGCTCATTGCGGCCGACCAGCTCAAACCCGTCGGCGCAGTGGTAAATGACTCGGCAGCCGTAAGTGTAGCACTCTCCAGCATGCCAGCCGTGCGCTGTGTCTTGCGGTGCTCCACACGAACGAGCTGAGAACAAAATGACAGGTAAATTAATTTTTACTGATATATTTTAGATGTTTGGAGATTAGGAAAATCTTAAGTTTACAAGTTGACCTAGCAGATATTCAGTTACATAGCTAATCTATATATTTGTCCACATCTATCTTTATTAAACTATACGTTCTATAAGTTCTTTTTAGAATAACTTATGGCCTTTGCTCTAATAACTGATGGCTTTCATTTTCATTCTTTGCTGAGGTTGGTTATAGTGCTCAGCGGACTATCAATAGATCACCTTTTGATCCCTAGAAGAAGTTAGTAGGTTTTTGATAGTTCCAACCTGGGCCCTGCTGTTTTTGACGATTGACTTAAAACAGAATACCACACCTCTCTTTTAAATTCTTTAATATATAGCATATATAATCTAACTGGCTGGGTAGCTGAGTGGTTGAGGTGCTTGATTACCAATCAAAAGGTTACCGGTTCAATCCTGAGAAAAGTCAGTAGCTTTTTGATGATTCGAAACCGAACCCAGCTGTTCCTGATCATTGGGCTTCAAATAAATGATTCTGACTGATAAACCAACTGATCTTAGTCAGTAACAAAGCTACACAGATAATCTCACACCATTCTATAGTCTACACTCATCCTTCACTCATATAAGGGCTAAAATACGCACAGCTAGGTGGTGTCTCCATCTCAAATAATTGGTAAGAAGTGATAATTATATGTTGTTTAAAAAATATTTCATCATAAATAGTTAAAAAAAAAAATCATAAAATAACATGCTTATGTGATGGGAAATGTCCAAAATATAGGTACTTAAGAAGAAAAGAAATGGTGCTTGTAGTTGTAGGATTTACAACTCACGTTCACAAGAGATGTCAGGGCCAAACCAGGAGGCTGCGTTGTCAATGGCCAGACACTTGGCACGAGGGAAGCCGTTGGTGACATAGCCAGTGAGACACTGGTACTGGATGGTAGCGTCCAAGTCAAACGTCGTCTGCTCTGGCAGTGCGTTGTGGCGTGCATGCTCTATGTGGGGTGGCGTCTTGCAATAAACTGTAAGTTAAAAGATTACGTTTAGACAGTAAAACCATTGACTATACACAGACTAAAAACTTAACAAAAGCTTTGTCAGACAAGCATTATTATTATTCCTTGACCTCCTTGACAATTTTATACTAAATTTTTTATGTTGAAGCTTGAAACTTCCAAGACAAACACAGCAACATAGCTACCGTTCTGTTTGCAGACAGGTGGCTGGCCACTCCAGTTGCCGTCTGCCTGGCAGGTCCTCTCACGGAGACCGACGACGTGGTAGCCGAGCTCGCAGCTGTAGGTGGCTCGGTCATTGAACAAACGTCCTGAGAGGGTGACAGAGCCGAGCGCCGGACTACGCAGGTCCTCGCACTCCCTCTCTAGAACAAGAACAAACAGTGATACAGGAGAACCTCCATTAGCAGACCCTCAATAACAATTGGCCCTTGATAACAACAGTTGTTTTCAAATACCCTTGATTTTACATTACTCTTAATTGGTTGCCATTTTTTTTAAAGAGGTTGGCGGCCTCTTTTAACCTTTTATTTGCCCGTCCACATAGATTAACTGCCCGGAACGTAGGAAAGCAAGGGGTGAACCGTTACAGTACGAAGGTGACCTGTACTGATAAAATGTTTGCAGCAGTGACCAGGATCCGAACTGACGACATCGCTGCCTTGGGCCCGAAGTCCATGACGCTACACCGACTGAGCCACAGACTTACATTGTAAACCTATATAAGGAGTCAACCTTGATAACAAGTCATATTATATCATCTCCATGAGAGACTTGTTATCAAGGCTCTACCGGTACTGTGTAGCTTGTCCCTTATGAAAAAGTTTATATATGGCCATATAGGTACAATTTTTTTTATCCGGTTATATTTGGTTTTGGACCAAATATAACCAGATATGATCATATATGGAATCCCCCATATATGGAAATTTTTAAATAAAAAATATATAAAAAAATAAAAAAATTACAATTAAACATATTTTCACATTAAATGGCATAAACTATGCATTAAAACCATAATAAAAATTTTTAATTCGAAAATTTCAAAACAAAATTTTCAAGCTGTCGACTGGGATTCGAACCCGGGACTCCAGCATGGGAGTCCACTCCTTTAACCACTACACCACAACCGCTACATATCTGATGTTTTAACAAAACCCATTACCAATAAGAGAAGCTGTATTTGGTCTCGTAAAACAAGATTTTCTTGGACATTTTATGTCATTTGAAGAATGTTATTATTAATACTGTATAGCCTAACTACGTGACATTGATATTTGCGGCTGTTTGATAGCAAAGGTACAATTAATTAATTATTAATATAATATTCTCTTTATTTAGGCCTACTACACTTACAATTTTAAAATTATACGACAGTTTTAAGATTTTGTTGCGTTATAATAAAATTGTACAATAGATGTATGTACAGGATTTTATCATCTGGGTTCAAATCTGGATACTTTATTACTTTACAACTAATTACTTTAAATGAAAAATGCCTACATTATCTGCCCCCCTACTGTACCACATTTCAACTGAATCAGTTCAGTAGTTTGTGCTTGCGAGAGCAACAAGAAAATACACAAACTCACAAACTTTAAGATTTATAATATTTTATATATTATAAGGAGTGTTTGGGAGTCCAGTTACAAAATCCAAATGTGGCAACAATTCCTTATAATAATTCAAGTTATTGTCAAAAACTCATTTATACATGAGCATAAATGGAAAAATATTATTCCGTATATGAGTAATTTAATTCCATACCTGGGAGTCATATATGGCCATATATAGACCATGATTCCATATATGGAGGATATTTATGGCCATATATGGGCAATAATTTCATATATAGAAAACATGTATGGCCATATATGGACAATCATTTCATATATAGAAAACATGTATGGCCATATATGGCCAATAATTCCATATATAGACTACAAATATGACCATATATGGACACCACCATATATGGATACAACCACATCTGGCCATATCTGCTTCCATATATGGCGATAAATAACCATATATGGCTTTATAAAAACATATATGGAATTTTGATATGGCCATATATGGCCAGAAATTACTTTTTTATAGGGGGTGGGAACCTATAGAATGAGAAATGTTCATTTACATCAGCAACCTATAATGATGTAAGTAAATGACAAGCAAATATTAGGGATGTGCTTACATCTCCAAAATGAGCGGTTTCAAATGGTAGTGCAAACCCCAGAGATATGTTGACAAATATTGCTGTTAATGAGAATAGTAAAGTTAAGAGATCCAGAAAGAAGAGGTTTTATCAATGAAAATGATTTAAAATTGTTAACTAATGCTTGCCATAGCGTCTTTATAATGCTTGCCAGTGCATTTCAAACAGATCAAATATAGTGTTATTTCGCTGAAGATCCACAGAGCTATAATCCACAAAATAGTACTCAAAAAGGTGTTTTTTAAACATTACAACAGGCAAATAAAAAAAAATTGTTATGAGGTACCACACTAGATACTATACTTAAATTTCAAAGAATAAATTTACATTCAGAGTGCAGCACAGAGTCCTTAAGTCATAATATTTCAAATGGCAGGTTTAGCAATACTAAACAACAAAATCTGCTCTTTTAATTTGTTCCCATGTCTTTTTACCACCACTGTATGTTTCTCTAAAGTGAAAATATAAATCCTGAATTCAAAATATCACTCTAAAAAGTATATAGTTATAAAAATTATAAAAAATATTTTTCCAGTTTCACGAGGGTCGCAAGGATAGGCAACCTGTATGGCAATAGGCATGATTTTTCCAGGTATGAAATCTGGCTAATAGAAAGACCATGACTCTCTAAAAGACCTTTTTAAAGCTGTACTGCACAGCAACAGTGGAATGGAATATAGCTAGCTTTTACTTAGTGTTTCATAAATGTTCTGATGAACTTTAATTATTATGTTCCCAAAATTTATTTAGTAAATGCACAACATGAATATAAGATTTTAAAAACTTGATTACCATCAAGCCTCCAACAAAGAAAAGGAACATTTCTAGATAAACAAACAAGAGAGGTTCATTATCTGTGTAAACGGGGTTTCAAGTCAACAGGGGCACTAAAGTGTCCAGTACACAAACTACACATCAAGTGGGCATTGCATTACCCTAGATAATTACTGGTTGTAGCAGGGAGTCCGTCAGCTATAGTCAATTGTGACAGTGGCTAAGTGTAGTCAAGTTTTACATTTTAAACATGGAAGTAAAAAATTATATTTTTGTGATTTTACTATACCTGATAAATTGAACGTTCTTTTTTAAATAAACAATTAAAATGAAACTCTATCTGTTAATTTAGATCATTTACATTTATTTAAAAAATGTTTTCTTACTTGAAAACAAATGTAGCGTTGAGAGAAGACCAGACAACACCACACAAAACAGTGAATAAACAAAAATACTATACAGACCGATATTTATTTTCCAATTGATACTTGTCATTCACATCCCAGGGTTTGACATTGAGCACAAATGAAGATGAAAGCTGATTCCATAAAAATAACAAGTTTCTGTCTTTGATGTAGTGATTGACTCCAACTTATGTAAGATGAATCTTTAGCTGAAACTCAATGTTTTAATTTGTTTTTCTCAATGTTACATTTAATATAGTCTGTTCAGAAAATTTAGGTGGTTTAAGGGGAAGGTTTCCTGCCTTCCCCCCACAATTTTTTTTTCAAAACAGTGAGGTAGATGGAATGGAATTGTTTCCCTTCAAACCGGCTTAATTTTGTGAGGTGTATAATAAGGACTAACCTGTGTTTGTTTATATAGTTTATAATATTTCCGTTGCTTTGAATTTTTAACTTATTTTTTTCAAAAAAAAAAAATTAAAAAGAAGAGAATTAAATATGTAGTCTTCAGTATTTTGAACTGTTTTGTGGTTAGGTGTAATTTTGATCGTACTCTGCTTTAGAAAATGTTGTTTTCCCACTGCTAAACTTGCTAAACAATAGGTAGGTATTTTTCTAACATATTATTTTAATCTACTATAGGCTTCTATTATAGTATAGTAGATTAAATAACTTGTTTTATTTAATACACGTTTTATTGAATATATCAATTTTAAGTAAAGTGGAGAGCCTTTCTTCCTAAGCTGGGCAGTATAGTATAAGTAGTACAGATAATACATTGTTGTGAAGTAATAACACTTGAGTCACCTGAAAAATATTTCACCCAGAATGTCACCTTCATATGTTTATTTCACAGAGTATAAATGTAGATTGTGCAGGTAATATGTGGTCCAATCCACGCCGCATACCAATGTGATTCTTGCTTGTATATTCCTCCTGTCTTGGTGAATCTAGAATCACAACTCTGAGTTTTACTAAATCCCAATGAAAATCTCTCAGAGAAAATACTTAATCGTCGTTCAATATTTGATTTGAAGTTAGTAAGTTAGAATTGCTTGGTGGAGGTGTGTAACTATAGTTGAAACAACTATAGTTGATTCAATTCATAGTTTAGGAGTCTTTCAAACAGAAATAACCGTTTAAGCACTCAATTGTTTTCAGCAGTTCTAAGGATGATAAGTCTAAAGTCTGTAAGGTAGCAAGTTAATCCATGCTAAGATTTACTAGGTGCAGTATTCCCTTCTGTATGTTACTCTTTCCGTTTGGCATAGATACCCCGTGTAAAACCAGTATTTTATAGCAACACCATCGGTTTGTCGTTCAATTAAACTATGTTTTCTAAAACTGGTAACAAAAACGTAGGAATGAAATATATCATTCCCAGAATTGTGTATAGCTAGTCAAAGCTTACACCTTACTTAAAAACTAAAAAGTTAGTTTGGGAGTTTAAAGTTGGTAAAGTGAAAGTGAAAGTGACGACCACATAGTGACCACAACAAACAGCTGAGCAATGTCAGCCCCAGCGTTCCTACAACATTCTGACTTGCAAACTTTGGACAACACTTGTAAATAGTTCAAGGCATTTTGACAAGTTTTTAATTTTACTTGAAAATGTCATTCAAGTTTGTTGTGGTCACTTTGGCAAGTTAGTTTCAATATTAAACTTTGTTAAAGATTCGAATGTACTGACACAATTTACAAGCAAATAAAAAGAAACAATAAACTCTCATTAATAACAGGTACCCCATAAAACAAACTTCGCCTGGTTCGGCAGCCATTTATGAAACTAAAACTTAATAGTCACTGTGTATAAGGGTTGCAATAGTGCAGGCGTGGAGAAGTATGGGCATTGGCCTATCTGCTATTGCCGGTTTTACTATAAGCCAAAATAGCTGAAAAATACACTTGTAAACAGATCAACTCAAACAGATAGAATTCACGTTTATGTGACATATATCCACATACTTTACAT